CTTCACGGTCCGTGATTTCACAACAATGGTTGACTCACATGAATAAACGTGTTCTAAATTGAGAGAATTTATCACCACATTCGCATTAGGTGACATTGCAATTAAGTTCATTGTCTTGTCCAAAGATACATTGTCCCCTCCCGTTTATTACAAGTATTTTACAAACTTTACAATGGTCATTAAGCTCACATAATTAATGATGAAGTAAACCCTCTTGCAAATGTTTCCATGAAGTTTCTGTAAAAATGATACAGTGCAAGCTTGATGTGCCGTCGTCCGTACATATTTTATTGATACGATAATGTAACGTTAATTTAGATAACACTACTGGCGCAGTTGGGTAAAAAAGGGTATTAGATATTATTACCCTTTAGTAAAAACGGTATATTCATTAGAAAGTTTTTACAAAATTTAGTTTGAGATGATTTTTAATAGACATTACGTGTATGTTTAGTGTAACTAAAGGGCAAAATTTAGTATATCACATATTCACTAATTCTTTGATACTAGCCTAAAAGGTCCACACGAGCGCGACGGGAGGCGTACAGAGGCGGCAAAAACAAGTTCTCTTTTGGCTCTTATCGCGTCCACTTAGGGGCTGAATTTGAATACATATTTAGTCAACCGACTGTACCAGCGTCGTCTTCAGAGGGCGGCGAGATCAAAGGATAGGTACACAGTAACCGCTCCCATTGATGTCGCGCACAAAGGGAATTGATTGTTGCAAACCTCTTTTTTTAAGGGAAGATTGATTACACATCTGCTTTTTTACAACGTTTTGCGTTTTTGTTCTGTTTACTAGACAATTTAGATGTTATTGGTATAATGCTGTTTATTTCTTGTCGCAATTATAATAATTGGAATATTTTAATAAACAAATATCATTACTTACACACATTGATAGTTAAAATATTCTTTTTAATTAGGTAATTAGTAACTGAGATTATTTAATCTACATTCATGGATCCACCCATGTAGAAAATTATTCTGTTACTATTTTAATGTAAATAAACAACTAATTGCGTGTCATTTGATGCTGATATAATTTAAGAAGTTTGAGAACTCATTAAAATGATAAAGTATGCACTTATTGTAATAAAATTGCACCTATGTAAACAAGTTTGTTGTCTAGTTAAAAATTAATGTAAAACAAATACCAGATTTGAAGATCCTCATAATAATAATTTACACATTTTAATTTAAAATGTTTAGGTACTATCTAAAACAAATTAAATACAATTATTTTACTCTATGAATATCCTCCAAATATTCTTCTTGTCCAAAAATGTTCAGTGGCACTACATAAATTTACAATAATAATACAAATGATTTATTTGAAGGTTTAAATTCAATAGGCTTCAAAATTATTGGAGCGATTTAAAATATTTTTTCACCATTTCCACAATTAAACAAACACACATATTCTTCAATAGCCTTGATGAACATAAGCATATGTATTTTTTGCAGTTTGAAGTCTGCCGGACCGGCTAATTTATTATTAAATTGAAACATCTATTAATAAAGAATTAAACTTATTTCAAGTTAAAAGTTATAGGTAATTATATCCTTTCATACTCCTTCTATTGCTTCAGCATATTGAATGATAGTTGACAGATCTTCAATGCTGAAAGAACGTTGGCTTGATATTTAGACTGTAGCATGTGTAATTAATTAAAATGGTTGTTTTTAAAAGTTTTATATTGACAACTATATCACATGTATGAATGTGAGCTTAAGATGAACAATAGACAGCATGACTGTTGTTGATAAGATTCACAAATTACCTAACTATAATGACCAGGTTAAATCAGTCCGCTACTAGACATTTTTAAAACCGTTGAGTTCAAACCTTGACCAAAAAAATGCTGTAATTAATAAATCGGATCTTTGTACAAACAAAATGTTAATTTCAGGATTTGAAAGAATTTAATTTCATGAAAAATAATAGATTTTTGAATAATTTCAAAATTGTACTTTTAATGTAAAAATATTTACTCTGATGTAGAAAGATCTAGTAGAGCTTCAGTCAGTTTTTCATGGGGATCTTCAGAAAAGATGATGGTTTTCATTTTCAATTGTATTGCATCAAATGATTCTGATTTAGCAAAATCTTCTCCACAAAACGTTTATTTCAATCCCACGTACACTTTGGCTTCGACACCTAGCAGCACAAAAAATGTGTCAGTAAGCAAATAAGTTTGAGAGTTACACAAAACTTTTTGAAAGTTCTAAACATACTTTCAGTGTGGTTTAATCGAAAGATCAGGACCTATTTATGTATTTAACAACAAAAAGTTCTCAATAAACATGAAAACAGCTTCAGTAATCGTAGACAACATAATCCTAACCTTTCTGTGGCTGAATTATTTATAACTTTATCCTGAGCACTGTTAACAGTCTCCACATTGTTTTTATAGTAAATTCAATTTGTATTCGTCTAAATAAGATCAAGCTTTAAGTCCATACGCGATATATTTAGAAGTCCTAGTAATCTTGAAATAAGCTTCAGTGTCTTACCTCGTTGACACCTGAATCCCAAAGTGATCCCAGAGTTCGTTACAATTTCACACACTTATTTTGGAACTTTCAATAAAAAGTCAGTGACTTAGGTATATGTGTAACACTTTAAATAACTTTGTCAAGCGTCTTGTAGCACTAAAACGTAACGAAAACAATGTTTTCACTAAGAAAACAAAAATTTATTCACACGACTGACGTCGCTTTCGCCATGGTGTTGATGCACTTTAGCGCACTCTGCTGGAGATTTCAGAAACTAATTTGTTATACCTGTTTCATTACATGCATCTGATATTGCATAAAAATCAAATCATTATTATGTAAAATTTTAATTAGAAGTATTTATTTTTTGGAAATTCAAATACTAATTTAATTTTTTTACAAATAAATAATACCCATGCACCAGTCTATAATCTATAATTTTCTTTTTTATTCCTTTGCCACACCCTCACGGCTATGGAATAAGTTAAAATTGCCAATCGTTTGTTTGCTGCATGTTGAGTTCTGTTTATTGGCCACCCTTTAATTTATGTGGATTTCAGTGCATAATGGTGGTTCCATTGGTTTTTCGCCCATATTCAGGGTGTGGGAGGGAGTTTTCTGTAACATACCTCTATGGCAAGCATTATGGCATTCGGAGAACCATTTTTGTGAGTCAATTGAAAACGACCGCAATATTTTTTTCAGTTGCTTCAGTAAACGTAGTAAACATGCTCTGTGTTCAAGAAATGGTATTTTCTTTGATCATCATGGGATCATTTTAGCTGTAGGTGAAAATACGATCTCCTCTGGTCACCATTTCAGCGCTGTACTGAAATAACGTACTTATAGGTCGCGCAACGAGAGTTGAGGCCTTCAACACAAACAAAGATTTGTTTATGACTGTCTGCACTGACGTTTTACGAAGTCAAACTGACAAGTGTGCTCTTCGTGTTGCTTGCATTTATAGTTCCAAAATATCCTGTCGATGACATTGACAGTGGGGCGCCACCGTCAATACCGGATCGCTGGTTCAGATTTTTGCCATGTTGGAAACCATATAGTTGAACAATGGTAGCGCCCCCCTGTCATTGAGTTTGGTGGGACAGTTCAGCGTGGGTCATCTATATCAAGAGCATGTAAAGGGCATTCGATATTTGAACTTGAACGTGTTGTGTACTTGTGTTGAACGTTTTGAAAATTTCAAATATTACACCAGTGTGAGTAGGCGTTCGCCTCAACTTGCGTTGATCGACCTTTATCTTTAGGATATATTGTAACTTCTTTTTAAATAAAATGACATCCAATTCTTACAAAAACTTTATTATTATGTAAATCCAAACACAATAAACAACATAACTAGTTAGAAATAAAAACAGATTCAATAAACACAAAGAGTAGCGTGATGCTCAATACCTCACGATAGGCGTTATAGCAGCCTACCTGCGGTATCTCCAGCCATTCGAAAAACATAAGAAACTAAATAAATTGTAATTAAAAACACTACACGCTTTAACTTATTACATGTAGTTATAACTGAATACACATTATTTCACATCAGATTACAAATTATTGGTTTGTTATTTAGTTGAGCAGGTACAAAATAGCAAACAAGTCAAAACTAAATAAAAGCGCGCACGCCTCCTACTCTACAAAAATGACTAAAGCATGTTGACTTTATATCTTACTGTGCTAAACAATAAATACCTATTATAACGCACATGAAAATGAAACATTGAGGTAATCTTACACAAGGAACTTACATTGAACAGTAAGCTATTAAATTACAAGTTTTACGTAAAAGTGAGTACACAAATAAATAGTATTACTAAGAAATAACTTCTAAGTGATGTAGTTAAAGTCGTTTGTTGATGGACATTCCTTTTGGCTTCAAATTACGAGTGGGCATTAGAAATAATTAATATTCTATATATATAAAAGAAAGTCGTGTTAGTTACACCACTTATAACTCAAGAACGGCTGAACCGATTTAGCTGAAAATTGTCAGGGAGATAGTTTAGAGCCAGGAGAAGGACATAGGATACTTTTATCCCGTTCGAAATAAAAAAAAAGTCTGCTTATTTATTGCCATTAAGGCGGAACAAAGTTTGCCGGGTCAGTTAGTTTAAAATAAGAAGACATGACTAACCAATGTTAACTATATTCCATCAATTTTCGTATATGTTTTAGTTGTAGTTGTAAGTGAATAATCAGAACTATACTTGCAGTTTTTACATTATGGTTTAGTAAACTAAGGCACAAGGAGTAAGAGTAAGGCTGAGTAGCACTACCTTATTTTAACCGTAAAAATAACAATAACTTTTTGTGTTGACTTTGACAGATTTTTTATGTTGGTCAAAGTTAAAGTAAGATGGTGCAACTCAGCCTAACAATGTTAAAATTTGACAAAGGTATTGATTATTATTAACATTTGTGAAAACATCAATTAAAATCGGAAGCTATTATAACGTCAACAATCTTGCTAGAAATTGTGGACCTTCATATCTATACAACTACGCCGTTATTCTAACTCTGTTGGTCTATAAGCATCTAATTGTTTGGAAAAACAGCTCATTTTCTAAAGTACTAAAATTAATCACTAGTAGACAAGTGATTCAAGAACAAGCAATGGGATAGTTTTAATTTGTTTGATCAGTTTTTAATGTAATTTTCATTTTTAATTCAGACTGTTAGAAAATGTTAATTTAATCGTAATTGCAAATTTTATTTTCACAATATTAAAACATCCTAACTGCTATTTCTTTGCAGTGTGCCGCGTTTTCACTAGGAGACATTAATTATCCCGCGACTTTGTCGCTCGACACGAAATTCACGTGTCCCGCGCGATGTCGCCCGACGTCGCTTGCGACATCTACGGGTCGCGAGACTTATCGCTTGTCGATGCTCTATGCACTAATGGCTAGTGTGAACAAGTCATATGTCGAGGGACAAAGTTGCAGAGACAAACTACGTGAATGTCGGACGACTTATCTCTGCGACATGTCCTAGTGAAAACGTGGCTTTATGATTTGTAAATGACAAACGAGCAACATATTTGGCAACATTGCATTCAAAAATTCCGATTCGGCCAGATACGAATTCGGGGTCACAGTAGTCCGGTACTGATTAAAATCGACGATACCGGAAAAAACTAAGCCTACGTGCAGACCACCAATTTTAAGTCGGCCGATAGTTGGGCCCGATTCTAATTTGTATGAAGAATCAATCGGTGTAATGTGCGCACTTCTATACATGCCCATATTGATTAACTGCCCGACTAAACTTTCGGCCGACAAAAAGTTTGCAGTCTGGGCTAAAAATGATGTTTTTAACCCTTTCCCTACGGACTATTGGAAACCAAAGTGCGCCTCTCAATTCGGGGTATTTTAAGTTGTCAAATTGTTTGTAAAAAGTATGAGACTAACAGTATTAAAATTTGGAATATTATATTCTGCAACTAATGTAGTTTCATAATTACAAGCGCATTTTACACTTAATTTGCCATTTTATTGTTTTTTTGTCGTAAACCGTGATTTAGTATTGGCTTTGCCAAAACAGCAATAGATGCCACCCGTATTGAGAAGTGACTTTTGACTTGGCAACAATAGGTGCCTCCCGTAGGTAAGAGGTTAATGCCCGTTTTCACCATCAATCCGTAACTTTTAAGTGACCCATATGGATACCAAATTCCTGTTAAGTGTTTCCATAGGGGTCACTTAAAAATTAGGGATTGATGGTGAAAACGGGCATAAGGGCTCTTAATTTCGTCCTTTAACTGCCGGTAATCTTATTCAGTCCCTTGATGAAGTTGGACATGTCATATTCCTCCTCGTACTGCTTGTCGTCCCACAGGTCGGGCAGCGCCTCGATGACGCGGGGCCCGGAAGGCCCGGGCAGCGCCAGCGAGGGCCCGGCGCTGGGCCCGGCGGGCGCGGGCCCCTGGGCCGACAGCTGGAACAGGTCGAGCAGCTGGTCCGTGCCCATGGTTTCCATGGCGGCGTTCTCGCTGCTGATGACTGTATTCGCCGTTTGCAGCTTGAACTTTTGTAATCTGAAATACGGAAGAATGTCTATTTTAGTACAAGTTGGAGTAGCCACATTTTAGCTGTCTTATAGCCAGATTGACAATGCAATGCTAGTTTTTATACAGAAAAGAACAAATAAATACTAATTTTGCTATATTTACAATGTTATAACCAGACTATTTAGTCCGTGCCGTGGCAGCCTACAAAAGAGGCACAACTTATAAATTAACATAGAAGTATTCATGTACCAATTTCGAGACAAGCCCTGACGCGGTTTTGATGTATGCTGAGCGGATGCCTTTTTTTCAGAGAGGCACAAGCAACTATCTGTTCACTTGTGTATCTCTTTCTGTATGTACCTATGTCTTGCCTGCTTGTATACCTTTCTTTCAAATAAAAACTATTCTATTCTATCAAGTCTGATCTCTCTGAGACTCGTGATCCGGGGAACGCGGGTTTGGTCCCCGCCGCCGCTCGACTATTGTGGTGAGCTCACTCGTGACACAAGCATATTTAGCTTAGTACGAGGGGCTAAAAAAAGTGTGTGTTGTATTGGCTGTCATAAACAACAATAGAACGACAACAAAGTGACCACCCACCCCATAATCTTCTCCTCGAGCGTGCCGCGGGTAATGAGGCGATACACATTGACGACCTTACGCTGCCCGATCCGGTGCGCGCGGTCCATGGCCTGCGCGTCCTTCATCGGGTTCCAGTCGTGTTCCACGAACACCACCGTGTCCGCACCCGTCAGGTTCAGACCTAGACCGCCCACCTGAGGAAATGAGACAGTTGTGAATTAAACTGGTGAAAATATAAGCTGCAATCTAGCTCCTAAGCGAAGCTTATACGGGATGATTTTGAAGTGCTTTACTCTGCTCATATTCAGGTATGTTTTTAAAGGAACATTTTTTTAGAATACTATAATGTACAGTGTTACGAAATAAATTATGATTAAATTAAAGTACGCTTTGAGCGAGTATAACTCGAAGTAAGATGCATACGCGCATGCCGTCCTGTTAGAAATTTCAAAATCACGCGCACCGCCTGAGCTCTCGTGACCCACATTTGTATCATAATAAAAACTAATTTGAAGGTATGCGACGCTGGAACAGGCAGCAGTGGTAAGTAGCAACGGGTCAATGAATATGTCGCTGTTGAAGCGTGGGACGTAAATCGCCTAACGTAAAGATCGCGACGAAAGGCGCGTGACGAAACGAGCGTAACGTTACGCACATGACATAGGCTAAGAACTCACGGTGCGAACTCACCCGCAGCGGTTGTTGAATTGCGGTTTTTTTTTTCAAAACTCACGGGAGCGGTTATTTGCGCGGTTATTCTAAGAACTCACAGCGCGATTTAAAAGCGTGCTAAGTCACTGGTACAAAATGGTCGCCCGCGGATCGGGCGGTTTTCGCGCGGGCGAAAACCGCCGAGCGGGACCCGAGTACAACCGCGCCCGCTGCGGGCGAAAACCGTGTCGTGAGTTGTGCATTAGTTTTTACATAATTATCTGCATTCTCCGCCATGAGTTCTTAGCCATAAAGGGCACTCACAGCAGTGGTAAGCAGCAACAGATCGATAGACACGTCGCTGTTAAACCGCGTGACGATGGCGTGGCGCTGGTGCGGCGGCACGTGCGTAACGTCTTGCAGATGACATAAAGGGCACTCACAGCAGTGATGAGCAGCAGCCGGTCGATGGAGACGTCGCTATTGAATCGCGTGATGGAATGTGCGTGACGGAATGCACGTGATTGAAAGCGCGTGACGGAATGCGCGTAACGAAAAAATCACTTACAGCAGTAGTAAGCAGCAGTAGGTCGATGGTAACGTTGTTGTTGAAGGGCGTGACAAAAAATGCGTGACGAAACGCGCGCAACGTGACGCACATGACATAAAGGGCACTCACAGCAGTAGTAAGCAGCAGCAGGTCGATGGTGACTGTTGAAACGCGTGATAGAATGCACATGTCGGAAAACGCGTGACGTAAAGAACACTCACAGCAGTGGTAAGCAGCAGTAGGTCGATGGAGACGTCGCTGTTAAAGTGCGTGACGTAAATCGCTAGACATAAAGGACACTCACGGCGCTCTGCAATGGTGAGCAGCAGCAGGTCAATTATGACGTCGCTGTTAAAGCAGGTGACGTAGTGTGTGACAAAACGCGCGTAACGTCACGCAGGTGACATAAAGGGCACTCACAGCAGTAGTAAGCAGCAGCAGGTCAATAGACACGTCGCTGTTGAACCGCGTGACGATGGCGTGTCGCTGGTGCGGCGGCACGCTCCCGTCGAGCCGCAGGTACGTGACGCCGGGCAGGTGCCGCTTCAGCAGGTCCTGCTCCCAATGTCCAGCATCCAGTGCATGACGGAGAGCGCATGACTTAATACGCGTTACAGATAGCTCGCGACGAATACCGTGTGACGCAAAGGGCACTCACAGCAGTGGCAGCAGGTCGATGAAAACGTCGCTGTTGAATCGCGTGATGGAAAGTGCGTGACGGAATGCGCGTAACGTAAAAATCACTTACAGCAGTAGTAAGCAGCAGTAGGTCGATGGAGACGTCGCTGTTAAAGTGCTTGACGTAAATCGCTAGACATAAAGGACACTCACGGCGCTCTGCAATGGTGAGCAGCAACAGGTCGATAGTAACGTTGTTGTTGAAGGGCGTGACAAAAAATGCGTGACGAAACGCGCGAAACGGCAAACGCGTGACGTAAAGAACACTCACAGCAGTAGTAAGCAGCAGCAGGTCAATAGACACGTCGCTGTTGAACCGCGTGACGATGGCGTGTCGCTGGTGCGGCGGCACGCTCCCGTCGAGCCGCAGGTACGTGACGCCGGGCAGGTGCCGCTTCAGCAGGTCCTGCTCCCAATGTCCAGCATCCAGTGCATGACGGAGAGCGCATGACTTAATACGCGTTACAGATAGCTCGCGACGAATACCGTGTGACGCAAAGAGCATTCATAGCAGTTTTGAGCAGCATATCGATGGAGACGTCGCTCTTGAAACGCGTTACAGAATGCGCATGTCGGAAAGCATGTGACGTCAGGCACATGACGTAAAAATCACTCACAGCAGTAGTAAGTAGCAGCAGGTCGATAGACACGTCGCTGTTGAACCGCGTGACGAAATGCGCATGACGTAATATGCGAGAAGGTCGATGGTAACGTTGTTGTTGAAGGGCGTGACAAAAATTGCGTGACGAAACGCGCGTAACGTGACGCACATGACATAAAGGGCACTCACAGTAGTAGTAAGCAGCAGCAGGTCGATGGTGACTGTTGAAACGCGTGATAGAATGCACATGTCGGAAAACGCGTGACGTAAAGAACACTCACAGCAGTGATAAGCAGCAGTAGGTCGATGGAGACGTCGCTGTTAAAGTGCGTGACGTAAATCGCTAGACATAAAGGGCACTCACGGCGCTCTGCAATGGTGAGCAGCAGCAGGTCAATTATGACGTCGCTGTTAAAGCAGGTGACGTAGTGTGTGACAAAACGCACGTAACGTCACGCAGGTGACATAAAGGGCACTCACAGCAGTAGTAAGCAGCAGCAGGTCAATAGACACGTCGCTGTTGAACCGCGTGACGATGGCGTGTCGCTGGTGCGGCGGCACGCTCCCGTCGAGCCGCAGGTACGTGACGCCGGGCAGGTGCCGCTTCAGCAGGTCCTGCTCCCAATGTCCAGCATCCAGTGCATGACGGAGAGCGCATGACTTAATACGCGTTACAGATAGCTCGCGACGAATACCGTGTGACGCAAAGGGCACTCACAGCAGTTTTGAGCAGCAGATCGATGGAGACGTCGCTCTTGAAACGCGTTACAGAATGCGCATGTTGGAAAGCATGTGGCGTCAGGCACATGACGTAAAAATCACTCACAGCAGTAGTAAGTAGCAGCAGGTCGATAGATACGTCGCTGTTGAATCGCGTGACGAAATGCGCATGACGTAATACGCGAGAAGGTCGATGGTAACGTTGTTGTTGAAGGGCGTGACAAAAATTGCGTGACGAAACGCGCGTAACGTGATGCACATGACATAAAGGGCACTCACAGTAGTAGTAAGCAGCAGCAGGTCGATGGTGACTGTTGAAACGCGTGATAGAATGCACATGTCGGAAAACGCGTGACGTAAAGAACACTCACAGCAGTGGTAAGCAGCAGTAGGTCGATGGAGACGTCGCTGTTAAAGTGCGTGACGTAAATCGCTAGACATAAAGGGCACTCACGGCGCTCTGCAATGGTGAGCAGCAGCAGTTCAATTATGACGTCGCTGTTAAAGCTTGTGACGTAGTGTGTGACGAAACGCGCGTAACGTCACGCACATGACATAAAGGGCACTCACGGCAGTAGTAAGCAGTAGCAGGTCGATGGACACGTCGCTGTTGAAGCGAGTGACGGAAAGCACGTGAGGAAAGGAACACTCACAGCAGTGGTGAGCACAATGATGACGTCGCTGTTAAAGCAGGTGACGTAGTGTGTGACGTAAAGCGCGTAACGTCGAGCTCGTAAAGTAAAGGGCACTCACGGCAGTGGTAAGCAGCAGATCGATAGACACGTCGCTGTTGAACCGCGTGACGGAGAGCGAATGACTTAATATGCGTGACAGATAGCTCGCGACGAATACCGTGTGACGCAAAGGGCACTCACAGCAGTTTTGAGCAGCAGATCGACGGAGACGTCGCTGTTGAATCGCGTGACGGAATGCACGTGATGGAAAGCGCGTGACGGAACGCGCGTAACGTCACGCATATGTATGTGACTTTGTTGGTGTACCTAATAAATAAATAAATATGACATAAAGGGCACTCACAGCAGTAGTAAGCAGCAGCAGGTCAATAGACACGTCGCTGTTGAACCGCGTGACGATGGCGTGTCGCTGGTGCGGCGGCACGCTCCCGTCGAGCCGCAGGTACGTGACGCCGGGCAGGTGCCGCTTCAGCAGGTCCTGCTCCCAATGTCCAGCATCCAGTGCATGACGGAGAGCGCATGACTTAATACGCGTTACAGATAGCTCGCGACGAATACCGTGTGACGCAAAGGGCACTCACAGCAGTTTTGAGCAGCAGATCGATGGAGACGTCGCTCTTGAAACGCGTTACAGAATGCGCATGTTGGAAAGCATGTGGCGTCAAGCGCGTAACGTAAAAATCACTTACAGCAGTAGTAAGCAGCAGCAGGTCGATATAAAAAATGTTCTGTTCAGTTATTGTCTCTAAACGTGTTCTACGTAACGTACACTTAGTGGATTGCAAACATTAGTTAGTCCTAAGAAAGTCAAAAACATGTAACGGAATCTCCGACTTACTACTTTAGTAGAGCGATTACAGAAAATAATGGCCTATTAAGTACATGTTTTTTTGTGTTATTATGAAAGTTCAGAAAACTGCGCAGTTTTTAAAATTATTTTGGACCTATGGAAATTCTTTTTTTTTCTCATACATTTCAGTTGAAAATTTTAGAATGTTCTGCTAAAAGCATACTTTTTATGTTTCTAGCAAAAAATTTGTATCTTGCATCAAAGATAGGAAGGTGATTATTTTTTTCAAATATCTGCAACTAATAGGAAATCTGTCAAAAAAAAGAAATCTGAGAAAAGTCAACCCAAAAAAAAGATAAAAAAAAAATTAAGCCACTAGGTCATGAAATTTGAAAAAATCACAAAATTAACGATAACTTCTAAACTACGAAAAATCGTAGAACATACATGGGGGTGAAATCGATAGGTCTAGTCCTCACCTATCACCTGCCTTCGGCTTGACACCTTACAAGAAACACCCTGTATAACTACTGCGTGAACGGAACTATGTAAATATATCGTCGGCAGCACGCTATTTATCTACATCATGTTTCAACTAACGCAAGGATTCCAAACTAAGAGCTTGTATCAATATGACTAACGCCCGATTCCCATATTCAATCCTTGTCCAAATCCGGATTACAACTGTCAAATTGAATTCAGTTTTAGATTATATTTCCAAAATTTTTGATGCATTTACACTTTAATATTGTTTAAATAGTCTTATAAACAATATAAAAATGTAAAAACATCAAAAACCGCAGTTATTTTGGCCAAAAACATATTAAAATTTGACAGTTGACAATCCAAATCCGTATAATTTGGATTAGGATTGAATATAGAAATCCATCGTAAGTATAGTTCGTTTCATCCATGAAGACGCGCCCCTCCATTCTTCCGCTAATGTTTGAGTGTTATCGGTACACGTTAAATCATCCATGAGTGCACACGCATACTACAATAATGACGCTCGGATCAAACTCCCCGCACCCCGCGCATCCTTCGACCAAAAATTCGTGGACGAAACGATCTATATACAGTGTGTCCGGGCATGTAGTGATCAAACTTTAAAGGCGTAATCTATGAACAATTTTATCGATGAAAATACTTCAAATTTGGGGCTTGACCCATTTCTCGAAAAATTACATCCATTTAAGTTTTTAGTTTTTAGTTTACACCTCTTCTTTAAAAAACAAGTGAAAGCGTGGGTAGCTTAACATTAATAGGCAAATATTTTATATCATGCGATAGCCAATAAAATTATCTATTAGTAGAAGAAGAAAACAGACACAAATTTCATACATTTTATGGGAGTAAGAATGGATTGAATTAGAAAAATACATTACTTTTTTCACTTATTTTTCAGTTATTTTCCAACACAAGAAAAACCAGGTCGTTAAGGTATGTTTTATTTGCATTGTATTTTTAGTATTTGAGCTATTCTACAAAACGAATGTAAATTTATTAGTCTACGTCTATTAGTTTCGACGTAATTGTTGAACAAAGATACCCCTTCCCAGCGGTTTCCATAGCGCACGCGACATGCGAAAATGTACTGCCTGAAAGAATCACACAACCTATTCCGATTACTATGGAAACCGCTGGGAAGGGGTATCTTTGTTCAACAATTACGTCGAAACTAATAGACGTAGACTAATAAATTTACATTCGTTTTGTAGAATAGCTCAAATACTAATAATACAATGCAAATAAAACATACCTTAACGACCTGGTTTTTCTTGTGTTGGAAAATAACTGAAAAAGAAGTGAAAAAAGTAATGTATTTTTCTAATTAAATCCATTCTTACTCCCATAAAATGTATAAAATTTGTGTCTGTTTTCTTCTTCTACTAATAGATAATTTTATTGGCTATCGCATGATATAAAATATTTGCATATTAATGTTAGGCTACCCACGCTTTCACTTGTTTTTTAAAGAAGAGGTGTAAACTAAAAATTAAAAACTGAAATCGATGTAATTTTTCGAGAAATGGGTTAGGCCCCAAATTTGAAGTATTTTTATCGATAAAATTGTCCCTAGATTTTGCCCTTAAAGTTTGATCACTACAAGCCCGGACACACTGTATAAGTATCGAGTAAGAGTAACAAACTAGCCGAAAAACTATATTCAGGAACACAAAAGTTTGGATTTTCCAAACCTCTTCATCAGTCGAGTTGAGAACTAAGGAAAGAAAAGCAAACACAAACTACGCTAATGTTTGGCCTCTAATAAGACAAGATGCCATAGGGACAGAGAGAGAGAGAGAGAGAGAGAGAGAGAGAGATCATATTATACAGAAACCTGGGATACTAGCCTCAGCATCGCACGTTTGGGACTATGTTTTAAAATACCGCGAGCATTATTATTGTATTCGTTACCTGGAAAACATGCGTGTGGCTGGTGATGTCATGCGGCATGTGCTCTCGCGAGAAGTGCTCGTACAAGCGCCGCTGTAAAGCGCTGAGCTCGCAGTAGTAGTCCTGCGTGATCTTCGGAGGCAGCTCCTTTAGCACGTCTTCTTTGACACGACGGAGGAGGAAGGGTAACACCTGGGAATAAAATATTAAACTTGATTTTTCATGAATTTCTTTTTATGAGTTATCAAAACGCTATTTCTTTACTGAAGCCGCGAGGTGTCTTGCTTGTCAGGCTAATGAGGGTTTTCGCGTATGAAAAATCCACTAGATGGCAAGACGTAGATATGGGGTCTAACTGCTACGTGATTGGTGAATTTTGACATATCTGTCAATGTCATGTCAAAAATAACCAATCATGCAGCATTTAGACCTCACGTCTACGTATTGCCATCTAGCAGATTTTTCATACGCGAAAACCCTCATTTGTATGCCGCATACTGGCACATTGGCCGCAAGCAAGTCGCACTAGCTCTGTCACGTCGCGATCGTTGTTGACTTGATGTCCTTGGTGACAGAAAGGATCGTAATGCGATCAATACTTCACGTGACGTATGACACATGTCATCTACGTAGGCCACTAAAAAGTAAAATGAACTTTAACAACTTGATATTTTCACTTCGCGTCGTTTTGTCGCTCATCTAGGACACCTCGTTCAGCCTCACTTGTCATGTAAGGCCTCACAGGCCAGCTTGTCACTCACTTAGGACAATGGATCACTTAGGACATTGGGTTAGGCCTCACCTGTCGATGCAGGGCCTCACAGGCCAGCTTATCGCTCATCTAGGACAACGGATCTCTCAAGACATTGTATAATGCCTCACCTGTCGATGCAGGGCCTCTAAGGCTAGCTCAGCTTGTCGCTCGCCTAGGACAGTGGATCACTTAGGACTTTGTTTAATGCCTCACCTGTCGATGCAGGGCCTCACAGAGCAGCTTATCGCTCATCTAGGACAACGGATCTCTCAAGACATTGTATAATGCCTCACCTGTCGATGCAGGGCCTCTAAGGCTAGCTTAGCTTGTCGCTCGCCTAGGACAATCGATCACTTAGGACTTTGTTTAATGCCTCACCTGTCGATGCAGGGCCTCACAGGGCAGCTTATCGCTCATCTAGGACAACGGATCACTCAGAACTTTGTTTAATGCCTCACCTGTCGGTGCAGGGCCTCTAAGGCTAGCTCAGCTTGTCGCTCGCCTAGGACAATGGATCTCTCAAGACATTGTATAATGCCTCACCTGTCGATGCAGGGTCTCACAGGCCAGCTTATCGCTCATCTAGGACAACGGATCTCTCAAGACATTGTATAATGCCTCACCTGTCGATGCAGGGCCTCACAGGCCAGCGCACCGGCCTGCAGCTGGTGCGGCGTGGCCTTGGCATCACGCGCGGCGAGGATGGGCCGCGAGTAGCGCGCCGTGAACTGGCGCTCGGTGCCCAACAGGCCCGGCATCAGGAAGTCGAATAGAGACCACAGCTCTAGCACGTTGTTCTGGAAATTGAGCAGTAAAGGGGTGAGTGGAAATTGGAATGGTATGTTTTAGTAATATGCTCAAGCTCATAACTTATAAATATGTATTATGCGTCAGGAATTCGAACATTGACCATAACTTTAGCACGTTGTTCTGGAAATGATACCGTCAAGAGAGAGAGCGGAGATTACAATGGCGTAATTTGATAATATCGTTACAACTAATAAACACCATTCTATCGACCAACAACAGTGCACTGTGACACAAGCCTCCTCGAAGTGGCACTAAAATCTTCAATAAAATAAGCAGTAATTAAGAAGAAAAGGTTTCCAAAATTCCAAATCACTATTTACTACGTACGGACTGACAAGGAGCTATGAAGACACAGAAAAAATAGTTTAGGAAACTAAGGAAGTTCAAATAACGCACCTGTATCGGCGTGCCCGACAGTATCAGTCTATGATTAGCGACCAGCTGCTTGATCGCTTTAAACGCTTTGGTCTTGCCATTCTTGATGACGTGTCCCTCATCCAACACGCAGTAGTTCCACTTAATAGTGCTGAAGAAGTGGATATCTTTCCGCACGATGTCGTAAGAGGCTACGATGAGATTGTAGTGGCGTACGTGAGCTCTTAATCGCTCCCGTTCCACCGGTGGGCCTACGTATTGTAGCGGGCGCAGGAACTTGCAAGGGATGAATTTGTTCACTTCGAACACCCAGTGGCCTGGAACGATAAGATTATAGGTAAATACACAGTAAATTGGGTCTGCAGCTAGAGAAATTAGGCGGAGGAGCAAACCAAATCATTTATTGCATAATGTAGGCACATACAGGTAACTCAATAAAATATTTTTTCAGCTACATCATACCATATCGGCATGCAACAGAATCAATTTTTCGTGAAACAGAAGCATACTGGGGCGCCTGTACCGGGCGGCAGTGTATGAGGCGCAAAACTTTTGACTTTGATTATGTAAGGGTGATACGGGCTATTTCAGGATGATGCGGTCTATTTCAGGGTGATGCAGGCTTGTTACCTAATGATACGGTCGATTTCGGGGTGATGCGGCCTATTTTGAGGTGAATAGGTCTATTTCAGGGTGATAAATGGACTATTCCGAGACGATGTTGGCTATTTTGGAGTGATGCGGTCTATTTTGGGGTGATACGGGCTATTTCAGGGTGATACGGGTTATTTCAGGGTGACGCGGTCTATTTCTGGGTGATGTGGTCTATTTCTAAGTGATGCGGTCTATGTCGGGGTGATGCAGTCTATTTCAGGGCCATAAGGGCTATTAGCTCACCTGTGAGCGTTGGCGGGCACACGACGAGCGAAGGCAGCGACGGTTGCTGTGCGCGCGCGCGCTCCCAATGCGAGCCGGCCACTACAACGATGGACTGCAGCGTCTTGCCCAGACCCATGTCGTCGCATAGCACGCCGTGCAGCTTGTACTCATAGAGGAAGCGCAGCCAGTTCACGCCCGCCTGGAGAAGAAATAAGAAGAACATTTTGAAATGTCGGATGACAGTTCGAAAGTGAACAAAGCAAGAGGGTAATGTTTGCTAAACTATCCTTTGATCGCCTTTTAGAGCCTCTATTAAAACTCGCGCGGGCGCCCGCACGCGGTTACGAATGGAAAAAATTGTATGAGTAGCGCACGCAAATGTCTGCGCGCCCACATTTGTTTTAGCGGAGGCCTTTAAGGCGTCTAAGGAGTATTGGAAGTGGTTCTATTCTACTTTGAAGAACCAGAACTTCCTAACCATAGCTTCCTAATTTTTACACTAACGATTTATCCGACGATTTCTCAACAAGGCGAGATCATAATCATCATTTCAGCCACAGGACGTCCACTGCTGAACATAGGCCTCCCCCAATGACTTCCACATCGCACGGTTGGTAGCGGCCTGCATCCAGCGCCATCCATTTACCAGGTCGCCGTTCCACTTTGTGGGTGGACGACCCACGCTGCCTTTTCCAGTACGTGACCTCCACTCCAGACCTTGCTGCTCCATCGGCTGTCAGTTCTGCGTACTATGAGACGAGATCGTTCATCAAAAACTGACCTGCTGGTAGCTCCTCAACTCAGCCGACACAGGCACTGGTATCTTAATCTATTAACAATCTGTCAGCTTTTACACAAAGACGCAGTTGCGTTCCATTCACGTTACAGCTAGCTGTCAAAGCGACACCGCGATACGGATTTGTGCTTACAGCTGATTATCGTTTGTCGTCTAGTCGCATTACAGTTGAAAATATTTAGCGCAATCGGGGCACAGCGCGTCGACGTCACGCGGACAGCTTCGCAGTATCGATTACTCGACGAGACGAGATCATTTCATCAAAAACTCACCTGCTGGTAGCTCCTCAGCTCAGCCGACACGGGCACGGGTATCTTGTAGTCCTGTATGGACTTGGGGTTGAACAGCTTCTCCAGGAAGTGCTTGTCTCTGAGCCGGCGCGCGCGCACGTCGGGCGCCAGGCCGGGCGGCTCGGCCACGGCGCCGTCCAGCGGCATCAGCTGGATTAGAGGCGAAGCAGCGGGTTGACGTCACGAAGATGACGTCACAGTAGCGATTTCTCGACGAAGTGAGATCATCATCATTTCAGCCACAGGACGTCCACTGCTAAACATAGGCCTCCCCCAATGACTTCCACATCGCACGGTTGGTAGCGGCCTGCATCCACCGCCATCCATTTACCAGGTCGTCAGTCCACCTTGTGGGTGGACGACCCACGCTGCCTTTTCCAGTACGTGACCTCCACTCCAGACCTTGCTGCCCCATCGGCCGTCAGTTCTGCGTACTATGAGGCGAGATCATTTCATCAAAAACTGACCTGCTGGTAACTCCTCAACTCAGCCGACACAGGCACTGGTATCTTAATCTATTAACAATCTGTCAGCTTTTACACAAAGACGCAGTTGCGTTCCATTCACGTTACAGCTAGCTGTCAAAGCGACACCGCGATACGGATTTGTGCTTACAGCTGATTATCGTTTGTCGTCTAGTCGCATTACAGTTGAAAATATTTAGCGCAATCGGGGCACAGCGCGTCGACGTCACGCGGACAGCTTCGCAGTATCGATTACTCGACGAGACGAGATCATTTCATCAAAAACTCACCTGCTGGTAGCTCCTCAGCTCAGCCGACACGGGCAGGGGTATCTTGTAGTCCTGTATGGACTTGGGGTTGAACAGCTTCTCCAGGAAGTGCTTGTCTCTGAGCCGGCGCGCGCGCACGTCGGGCGCCAGGCCGGGCGGCTCGGCCACGGCGCCGTCCAGCGGCATCAGCTGGATTAGAGGCGAAGCAGCGGGTTGACGTCACGAAGATGACGTCACAGTAGCGATTTCTCGACAAGGCAAGATCGGTAATCAAAAATTCACCTCCTTCTTCTTATCGTGTCGACAACAAACCGGGGTACGCGGATTCGGTCCCCGCCGCTGCTAGTCTATTGTGATGAGCTCACTCGTGACACAAGCATATTTAGCTTAGTACGAGGAGCTAATGGGACTTTTTAAAAAAACCTACACAGTGTCAAAACTCCGCTACAATAGCGGCGTTGTCAGCAGCATTCATTAAATCCTCCTGCGTGCAGTTGCTCGGGCACTCAGAGCACTACATCGTGTGCTTCATCGACTGGGGAACAAGACCGCAACTACACTCCACATACTGCACTTCGAGCCATCCAAAAATTCTCGACGAGGCGAGATCATTTCATCAAAAGCTCACCTGCTGGTAACTCCTCAGCTCCGCCGACACGGGCACGGGTATCTTGTAGTCCTGTATGGACTTGGGGTTGAACAGCTTCTCCAGGAAGTGCTTGTCTCTGAGCCGGCGCGCGCGCACGTCGGGCGCCAGGCCGGGCGGCTCGGCCACGGCGCCGTCCAGCGGCATCAGCTGGATTAGAGGCGAAGCAGCGGGTTGACGTCACGAAGATGACGTCACAGTAGCGATTTCTCGACGAAGTGAGATCATCATCATTTCAGCCACAGGACGTCCACTGCTAAACATAGGCCTCCCCCAGTGACTTCCACATCGCACGGTTGGTAGCGGCTTGCATCCACCGCCATCCATTTACCAGGTCGCCGTTCCACCTTGTGGGTGGACGACCCACGCTGCCTTTTCCAGTACGTGACCTCCACTCCAGACCTTGCTGCCCCATCGGCCGTCAGTTCTGCGTACTATGAGGCGAGATCATTTCATCAAAAACTGCCCTGCTGGTAACTCCTCAACTCAGCCGACACAGGCACTGGTATCTTAATCTATTAACAATCTGTCAGCTTTTACACAAAGACGCAGTTGCGTTCCATTCACGTTACAGCTAGCTGTCAAAGCGACACCGCGATACGGATTTGTGCTTACAGCTGATTATCGTTTGTCGTCTAGTCGCATTACAGTTGAAAATATTTAGCGCAATCGGGGCACAGCGCGTCGACACCACGCGTACTTCGCAGTAGCGATTTCTCGATGAGGCGAGATCATTTCATCAAAAACTGACCTGCTGGTAGCTCCTCAGCTCCGCCGACACGGGCACGGGTATCTTGTAGTCCTGTATGGACTTGGGGTTGAACAGCTTCTCCAGGAAGTGCTTGTCTCTGAGCCGGCGCGCGCGCACGTCGGGCGCCAGGCCGGGCGGCTCGGCCACGGCGCCGTCCAGCGGCATCAGCTGGATGAGAGACGCGAAGCAGCGCGTTGACGTCACGAAGACGACTTTGCAGTAGCGATTTCTCAACGAGGCGAGATCGGTCATCAAAAACTCACCTGTAGGCCTAAGATGTGCGCCGTGATAACTTTTATCGACGTCAATTTGTATGGGCAAAATCGATAAAATGGCGTGATAACGGCCTATCACGGCGCGCATCGTAGGCCTTCTGCTTTTTCTTCTTATAGTGTCGACAACAAACCGGGGTACGCGGATTCGGTCCCCGCCGCTGCTCGACTATTGTGGTAAACTCACTCGTGACAAAAGTATATTTAGCTCAGTACGAGGGGCTAACGGGACTATTAGTAATTTGTGAAATATCAAATTACTAATAATCTTAAAAAAAACCTACACAGTGTCAAAACTCCGCTAAAAGAGTGGCGTTGTCAGCAGCATTCATTAAATCCTCTTGCGTGCAGTTGGCAGTTGCTCGGGCACTCAGGGCACGACATCATGTGCTTCATCGACTGGGGAACAAAACCGCACCTGCACTCCGTGTTTGAGCCATCCAAGAATCCAAGAAAAGCTCACCTGCTGGTAGCTCCTCAGCTCCGCCGACACGGGCACGGGTATCTTGTAGTCCTGTATGGACTTGGGGTTGAACAGCTTCTCCAGGAAGTGCTTGTCTCTGAGCCGGCGCGCGCGCACGTCGGGCGCCAGGCCGGGCGGCTCGGCCACGGCGCCGTCCAGCGGCATCAGCTGGATTAGAGACGCGAAGCAGCGCGTTGACATTACGCGGACGGCTTCGCAGTGATCGCTCATGCGGCCTGGGTAGATAAAAAATACTAATTATTATACAGGACATTATAAAGCCCGGTCGCCGAGCACGTAGAATTTCGTCCAATGACCCCAAGCTACCCATCCTTATCGTTCGCGCGTAATTATATTACTGTCGCGCTCGCTCTCACTTCGACCGCCCGTCGCACAGTTGCGACAGCAATATAATTACAAGCGAGCGATAAGGATGGGTAGATTGGGGTCATTGGACGAAATTCTAAGTGCTCGGCGACCGGACTATACACGTCCCAAATATAGCGTGCCCTGCCACCACTTTTGACACAGCATATGGGCTGGTGCTTGTAAAAAATATCAACACCAACTTATTACTAAAATTAATCGGTGACAAATCTTTTATAGGACCTACTGGATTAACAATGTGAGATCACATGATAAGATTTATAAAGATACAAAGGATTTCTTTCTACGCTGACGTCCGTCACGTAAGATAGCCGAACGTACGAATAAACACAAAGCCACTATTGACGGGGCGTTTATTGCCGTTGATTACGAGTAGTACGATTCGTACGCTCGGCTAACGTACACGATTGACGATAACGTAGAACATCGAGTCAAAGCTTGTACGCAGCCTCCATTGAAGAGAGCTAGATAGACCCGCAAGTTTGACTATAAAGGTGCAAGCTTCCTTCCATCATCGGAGAACCAGACGCAGGTTAGCGTACCATCCCTATATTGTTGACATTCCACCAGCTCGCACTAAGCGTTTCGATGACTCTTTTATAATACGAACTGCTAGGGACTGGAATTCGTTGCCTGCTGCTGTCTTTCCCGAAGACTATAATCCGGGCCTTTTCAAGGCAAGAGTGAATAGGCACTTACAGGGTAGATATGTACCATCCTAGACTGCATACCACTTAACATCAGGTGCGATTGTGGTCAAATACCTGCCTTGTTAACTTGTTATGCATAAAAAAAGCACCTACTTCGAAGCTAGTGAAAGTTTTCGTAGGTAAATCCCATGTTTCGGGGAAGAGTCCTACGTAATACACTCAGTACGCGTCTTGTGGGTATGTACAAATTATTTCCTGTCAAAAAAAATTAAGTATGCAGTGAAGACTCACCAAGCAGAGGTACCACCAGCAATACAATGTAAGGCACCACTCGCAGTTGCAGCGACTCCACTGTTCGCGCTAGCGCTTCCGCCGCGCCGCAACGCGCTCGCTCGCAACGCACGTCGCTCAGCAGTGGGATTAGCTGCCCAACAATAAATCAAATTAGCATTTTAAGATTCCTATTGTTTGCGTATAACCAGGCCTGTAGGCCTAAGATGCGCGCCGCGATAAGCGGTTATCACGCCATTTTATCGATTTTGTCCATACATTTTGACGTCGATAAAAGTTATCACGGCGCGCATCTTAGGCCTACTGTTCATCTCCGCGAGTTTACATCGAAAACAAAACACGCACGATGGCCCCCTACAGGATTACTATTCGACAAGGCCTCACATACGAGCGAACATTGACTCACGCACGCGTATTCTTGTGTATGATGGAAAAAATAAAGAAAATGGTGTACACAGAATGTACTATTTTAAGTTGCCTGAAGACACTGAGAGGTAAATAAGTAGTTAATTATTATTCATGATAATTCATGCTAAATCATGTATTTCCTCCGCCATTTTCTGCAGTTTGGCACCTCACGTCACATCATTTTACCGAAGTCAGCCCTATAGCTTCGGCGCAGTACCGATCACTGACATTTGTCAACAAAATGGTGCTTGACTCTTGAGACAAGCTAAATTACACCATATTGTTAATGACATTGAGCATACATTTTTTTAAATAACTTCGCGAAGTAAAACTTCTGTACGTAGTACTTATTATTATTCTGTGGTATAAACAGCCAGAGTTTTTAAAAACGGAACGCGCGCGATAACCTTTACGTGACTGACCGAATTTCATGCGGATAAAGTCGCGGGCAAAAGCCAGTAAGCAAAACAAATTACATAGGCCACTGACCTCGTTTATGACGGTGTGCATGACAGGTATAGGGTCCCTCGCAGCCATTGCCGCCAAAGCGCGTGCCGCCATGTGCCTCACAGCAGTATGAATATGACGCGCAAGTACACAACACGCTTGAGCGCCGCCCGGGCACAGCTGAGGCCAAAGGTCAACTCCCACGTGAGCGCTGACAGCTTCGAACACTTGCAGGCGGGATATCAGCATTTATAGACAAACTACTGACCTAATTTAGGACGGAGTGCATCACAGAAGTGAGTCCCTTGAAGCCATGGCGGCCAGCGCACGCGCAGCCTTGGTTTAATCCCGGTTTTTAAAACCGTGACGAACCCGCGGGCTAAAGTCTTATAAGTAAATACTTTATAGCTACTGACCTCATTGATCACGGTGTGCATGACAGGCGTAGGGTCCCTCGCAGCCATTGCTGCCAAAGCGCGTGCCGCCATGTGCCTCACAGCAGTATGAATATGACGCGCTAGTACACAACACGCTTGCGCACCGCCCGGGCACAGCTGAGGCCAAAGGTCAACTCCTACGTGAGCGCTGACCGCTTCGAACACTTGCAGGCGGGATATTAGTTCTTCGGCTGGCTCCACTTCTTGGCTTTCCAGCTCTGGAACAAGTACAAAATGTATAGATGTCAAAAAAGTAGGTATACATTTTTGAGTTAGGAACAGAGATAGTACAGTGAAACAATCATCACATATCAGCCAAACGAAACTGGATATAGGCCTCTCCCAATCGACCAGACCTGCGCTATTCTCATCCAGGTATGAAGAACTGCACCATATCGTCGGTCATCCAAATGGGAGGCTTGCACACCTTTACCCTTATAACAAAAAGTTAAACCTGAGACGGACACTGGTTTAAAATGGCATGTCACTTTAAAGACTTTAAACCAGAGTAGTATCTTTTTGTAATAAGGGGGATTGCGTTAATTTGAAGTTAAATTAACTTGAGCTAAAATGACTACATAAATACAGGCTTGCTTATTCAAGAACTACTCACCAGCATCAGTCATTATCTTCAATAGTGGTTCAGTGATGAATTCCCACAGCTTAGGCAGTTTTTGAGGTAGTTCGTTGTTGAAATATTTGGTCAGACTTGTGAGCGCGTACGTTGCTCCTCTTCTTTGTATTCTAAGTAGTTTACGGGCCTAGAACGAAAAAACAAGTCAATTTTTACCCGACTACGGCAAAGCAAAATGAGGGTTAGGATGTAGAAATCATTGGGGAGGCCTATGTTCAGCAGTGGACGTCCTGTGGCTGAAATGGTGATTATGAAGCCCACATACCTCGTCCTCATCATCATCATCGTCTCAGCCACAGGACGTCCACTGCTGAACATAGGCCTCCGCCAATGCTTTCCATGTTACCCGGTTGGTAGCGGTTGGCTGAGTGCCCAAGCGACTGCACTCGGGAAGATTCGATGAGTGCTACTGACAACGCCACTCTTGTGGCGGAGTTTTGGGCTGACACTGTGTAGGTTTGTTGTCGACACGAAAAGAAGAAGAAGTCCAGCAGTGGACTCCAAAAGGCTGATCCCGACAAAACGCTTAGTGAAATGAAGCTCGCATACCTCGTCTTCGTGTTGCAGCAACTTGTGCTCTTGTAGTGTGAGGAGGCCTTTGTATTAAAATTTGTAACATACATACTCTCAGTGTGAAATGAGGAGATTCGCAGGAGAACCAAAGTGACCGACATAGCTCGCAGAATTGCTAAAATCAAGTGGCAGTGGGCGGGGCACATAGCTTGTAGAGACGATGGCCGTTGGGGCAGAAAAGTTCTCGAGTGGCAACCACAAGACGTAGTGTGGGCAGGCCTCCTACTAGATGGACCGACGATCTGGTAAAGGTCGCGGAAAGAGCCTGGATGCGGGCAGTGCAGGACCGTGCATTGTGGAAAACCTTGGAGGATGCCTTTGTCCAGCAGTGGACGTCCTGAAATGATGATGAACCCCACATACCTCGTCCTCGTGCTGCAACAGCTCGTGGTGGGGGTTAGCGGCGGGCGGGGGGTGGTTCGCGGGGGGCCGGCCGCGGCGCGGGCCGCCCGCCTCGCAGGCGCGTTGTTGCTCGCGTAGTGTGAGGATGCCTTTGTATTTGTCCACTAGAAACGAGGTCACATTCTTAGCTAATATACACATCGTAGATAGATAGGCAGTCTGAGGGCTTAGTGAGAATTTTCATCAAACGCGATCACTAGTGAGCGCGTCAAAAATGTCATTAAATGTATGACGGATTGTACAGCGCCCCGATCATAAATTTTTTAAACTCACACTCAGCCCACCGGTCGCCGAGCACGTAGAATTTCGTCCAATGACCCCAAGCTACCCATCCTTATCGCTCGCGCGTAATTATATTGCTGTCGTGCTCGCACACTCACTACGGCTGTCCGTCGCACGTAGCTTGGGGTTATTGGACGAACGTGCTAACAGGAAACGCGGAAGATCGTGCTTTATGAAATTCGCTAGGTTGATATAGATCGTTTCATCCACAAAGACGCGCCCCACTATTCTTCCGCTAATGTATGAATGTTATCAGACACGCTTAATTATCAACTATTAGCACACTACAATAATGACGCTCGGATTCTTCGGATCAAACTCCTCGCACCCCTCAACCAAAAATTGGTGGGGCGCCTTTTCGTGGATGAAACTATCTACAGGGTGGAAACGTTAAGTGATCTCACTCGATTATTTCTTAACTATACAATATATTAAAAAACTGGTTACTGATCCTAAAAGTGCTTAATGAGCTCTTTCAAACGGTACCAATAATAAGTTACAGAATAAACTGGATCTATCTGAAAATTCAATGTTTCCAGCTTCCATACTAAATGTATGCCAGACACACAATATTAGAAGTGTATTTTTTTTAATTTAATAATAAATACTTAAAATAAACTCGTAAATTGTATTCTTATTATAAATTATTAATGAAAAACATTGGTTTTAGGCTTTACTTGCTATAATATTGTCAAGAGATGAGTGTCATGACTGTGGTAGTACTAAATGTATGGAAGAAGGAAACATTGAATTTTTGGTTAGATCCAGTTTATTCTGTAACCTATTATTGATACCATTGGATAGAGCTTGTGAAGCACTTTTAGAATCAGTAATCAGTTTTACGATATCATATGTAGTTTTTAAAATAATGTGACTTTACCAAATGTATGGAAGCTGGAAACATTCAAAGTGGAGTGAAAGTAAAAATCGTTCAAAATTTTAAGGAAATAACATATTTTGATTAACTTTTGTGTAAAAACTGCAAGGATTCTGGGGGTTTTAAGAGTTGGGGTGAACAGCAGCACTACTTAAGTTGTCGATATAAACAGAAAAACAGGAATATTTGAAAAAATGTGGTCGTGGTAATGTAAAATATCATAAGGGGTGTCAATTTTCGTCGAATTTCATAATTTATTGTGTAAGTAAAAAAATAATTGAGGTAGATTTTTTTCCTTATTTTTCCCAAAGTAGTCATGACTATGTCCATCCTGTGGCGTCGGCTTATCCTTGAATTTTGGGACACGTTGTATATGAATGTGAAATCACTATTAATGTTACTTTTTTATATTATTCTTTTTCTCATTACTAAATCATCACTCACTTGTAGGTCCATGAGTGGCGGCTGCGGCGGCGGTTGCATCTGATTTAACAGTTTCAGGCCCACTGTCGCCGCTGGCCGAGTCGCCTTCCTCGGTGCATTCCAGCGACACACGCGGCGTCACTTCTGGGTCACACCTGAAGACAAAAATTATACAATAAATTATTACATCTGTTATAATACAACATCATCGCCCAGTGGCCTAATTCACGTATTTTGACAGTCAAGATCTCGGCAGTTCGATTTTTTCAAGTTATTTATAATTTTCAAATTAGTTTGAGATGCGACTCTTAACGCTAAAAATTAAATAACTAAGTCAAGATCTCGCTGACGTTCAGAAGTCATCCCATTCAAAAACAGTTCTAAATTCGTATTCACAAGGGTCATTTTGATAGAACGATTACTCGATAGGGTCGCAACTCAGTGTTTTGTTGTCGTTGAAGTTTTGTTACGTGAATAAGGCTACAGTTTGAGCAGCACAACATCTGACTCGTTGAAATATTTTTAGATAAGACTATGAGGAACCTCTTTGTAGGTACAAAATATCAGTTTTCCGGTCAGTCTGTCACTGTCGCTCATATAACAGCTATCTCAGCGCAGCGCAGGACGGGTCATTGTGGAAATCCTTGGATGAGACCTTTGTTCATTTGCTGTTATTACATTCAGCCGCCCATTAGTACCTCAGGAAGGCCTTCAGGAGCGTGTCGGCGGAGTTCTGCTGCACGTCGTTCATATTGCAATTTGTTATATGTCAAAAATTAAAAGTTTACAGGAGAGTAAAAAAACAGCGTACGGGAAAAAAATCTTTTAAGACACCATAATGTTTTTTAACTAATGTTTCCTAATCAGTTTGTTCTTTTTAATATAAATATAAAAGTCTCCATAAATAATTTTTATTTTGTTAGAATTTTTTTGATTTTTTTGCCATTGATCAAATTGCAATATGAACGACGTGCAGCTCCTCGGAGCTCTCCTTGATGCTCTCCATCAGCGAGCACCGGGGCGAGCCACTAGGAGAGAGAGAGCTAGTACCTCAGGAANTATTATTAATACCGTTTGATAGAGCTCATGAAGCACTTTCAGGATCAATAACTAGTTTATTGATATCTTGTATAGTTTAGAAATAATCGAGTGAGATCACTTATCGTTTCCACCCTGTATAGAGCCGGTTTACAAGCGACATGATGACGCCAAGCACAAATACGAATATACAGGGTGGAAACGATAAGTGATCTCACTCGATTATTTGTAAACTATACAAGATATCCAAAAACTGGTTACTGATCCTGAAAGTGCTTCACGAGCTCTATCCAACGGTCCCAATAATAGGTTACAAAATAAACTGGATCTATCCGAAAATTCAATGTTTCCAGCTTCCATACATTTAGTACTGCCACAGTCATGGCACTCATGTCTTGATTATATTATAGCAAGTAAAAGCCTAAAACCAATGTTTTTCATTAATAATTTTAAATAATAATGCTTTAGAGTTCAATTTAAGTGTTTATTATTGAATAAAAAAAATAACACTTCTAATATTGTGTGGCTGGCATACATTTAGTATGGAGCCTGAAAACATTGAATTTTTGGATAGATCCAGTTAATTCTGTCACCTATTACTGATACCGTTTGAAAGAGCTCGTGAAGCACTTTCAGGATCAATAACCAGTTTTTTGATACCTTGTATAGTTTAGAAATAATCGAGTGAGATCACTTATCGTTTCCACCCTGTATTTTTTATTTAACTTAGAAGTCGTGTAAATATTAAATCGGACACATTGTATACAACGTGTCCCAAAATTCAAGGATAAGCCGGCGCCGCAGGATGGACATAGTCATGACTACTTTAGGAAAAATAAGGAAAAAAATATATCTCAATTATTTTTTAAGTTAGACAATAAATTACGAAATTCTTCGAAAAGTGACACCCCTTATGATATTTTACATTACCACGACTACCATTTTTCAAATATTTCTGTTTTTTTGTTTGTATCGGTAACTTAAGTAGTGCTGCTGTCCACCCCAACTCTCAAAACCCCCAGAATATTTGCAGTTTTTACACAAAAGTTAATCAAAATATGTTATTTCCTTAAAATTTTGAACGATTTTTACTTTCACTCCACTTTGACTCATCGTTTTGTAAAAAAAAAAAAGTATGAACACTACTGCGGCAAGTTTTTTATAAAGTTGACGCAACTATCCAAGATTCCAAAATGGTATAATACTCTAAGAAACCTAGTCGCAAAAAAGATATGCGTACCATTTTTACAAGCACTTCGCTTGTTAGTTAGTATGGGTTAAATCTTGCAACTGAATTTAAAACCAGTTCTCCTCAACCGATTGAGCTGAAATTTGGTATACTTATGTAAGTACGATGAAAATGCAATATTATGGTACCATTGAGCTGATTGGAGACTGAAGGTGGCCATAGGAACTTCTAAACGAAACGGCGGAATTGCATCTAGTTTGGGTTCGTTGGACTTGTCTTTTTGAGCACTTTAGTGCTAGATGATGTCCAGGGTCCTGATGATGAAGTCAGAATTTTCAAACGAAGTCAAGCTTGTTTTTAAAAAAAGTTTTTTTTTATTACAACTTTATTTTAAACTTTTCAGTTGTTTCTCAATCTCATGGCCCAAGTGCTCGGGAAGACAAATCCAACGAACCCAAACTCGATAAGCTTCCGAAATTTCGTTTAGGAGTTCCTATGGCCAGCTTCTGCCACCTCTTGACTTCATTATCATGACCCTGGACATCATCTAGCACTAAAGTGCTCTAAAAGACAAGTCCAACGAACCCAAACTAGATGCAATTCCGCCGTTTCGTTAAGAGTTTGAGTGCCCTTTGCGTCACACGGTATTCGTCGCGAGCTATCTGTAACGCGTATTAAGTCATGCGCTCTCCGTCATGCACTGGATGCTGGACATTGGGAGCAGGACCTGCTGAAGCGGCACCTGCCCGGCGTCACGTACCTGCGGCTCGACGGGAGCGTGCCGCCGCACCAGCGACACGCCATCGTCACGCGGTTCAACAGCGACGTGTCTATTGACCTGCTGCTGCTTACTACTGCTGTGAGTGCCCTTTATGTCACCTGCGTGACGTTACGCGCGTTTTGTCACACACTACGTCACCTGCTTTAACAGCGACGTCATAATTGACCTGCTGCTGCTCACCATTGCAGAGCGCCGTGAGTGTCCTTTATGTCTAGCGATTTACGTCACGCACTTTAACAGCGACGTCTCCATCGACCTACTGCTGCTTACCACTGCTGTGAGTGTTCTTTACGTCACGCGTTTTCCGACATGTGCATTCTATCACGCGTTTCAACAGTCACCATCGACCTGCTGCTGCTTACTACTGCTGTGAGTGCCCTTTATGTCATGTGCGTCACGTTACGCGCGTTTCGTCACGCAATTTTTGTCACGCCCTTCAACAACAACGTTACCATCGACCTTCTCGCATATTACGTCATGCGCATTTCGTCACGCGATTCAACAGCGACGTATCTATCGACCTGCTGCTGCTTACTACTGCTGTGCCACCAGGATCACTCCGAGTGACGCGTGCTGGAGGGAGCCTTCGTACCTTAGACGGCGGCTGCAGCAGCAGGCCGGGCTCGGCGGGCAGGCGCGCCGGCTGCATGGCGAGGCACAGCCACGTGGCCAGCACGGGGCACGCTGCCACCAGGATCACTCCGAGTGACGCGTGCTGGAGGGAGCCTTCGTACCTTAGACGGCGGCTGCAGCAGCAGGCCGGGCTCGGCGGGCAGGCGCGCCGGCTGCATGGCGAGGCACAGCCACGTGGCCAGCACGGGGCACGCTGCCACCAGGATCACTCCGAGTGACGCGTGCTGGAGGGAGCCTTCGTACCTTAGACGGCGGCTGCAGCAGCAGGCCGGGCTCGGCGGGCAGGCGCGCCGGCTGCATGGCGAGGCACAGCCACGTGGCCAGCACGGGGCACGCTGCCACCAGGATCACTCCGAGTGACGCGTGCTGGAGGGAGCCTTCGTACCTTAGACGGCGGCTGCAGCAGCAGGCCGGGCTCGGCGGGCAGGCGCGCCGGCTGCATGGCGAGGCACAGCCACGTGGCCAGCACGGGGCACGCTGCCACCAGGATCACTCCGAGTGACGCGTGCTGGAGGGAGCCTTCGTACCTTAGACGGCGGCTGCAGCAGCAGGCCGGGCTCGGCGGGCAGGCGCGCCGGCTGCATGGCGAGGCACAGCCACGTGGCCAGCACGGGGCACGCTGCCACCAGGATCACTCCGAGTGACGCGTGCTGAAGGAAGTTCTCCCACACCTGCCAAGCAATATGGTGACATGGTAAGTGAAAACCATAAAGTTATTATACCTATCAGAATAGAGCAACAAGGAACTGAGCGAGCGAGATGTCCCTAGCAGCAACACTGTGATAAAAAGAGATGCGTGATGCTGTCGCCGTCACGTCAAACAGAACCATTTTTTGCAACTATTTGACAGTTCAGTCAGAAGCACGTTGAAAATTTGAACTCTGATATAATTTCAGATTTTACGCGAGTGAAATCGTGGATGTTCATGAAAAAAGTGCTTCAGAAACGTGGTGACTGTTTCAGTAATTGATTTATTGTACAAAACAGTTAAATAATCCTGACACTGACACACACACAAGTGTCATCCAAAATGGTTTCGTTTGACAGCTCGTGGTTGTTGTTCTATTCCAAAGGAATAATAACTTTATGGTAAAAACCTAGAAAACTTCTGGGCTGGCTCTACTCGTAGCCGGCATAATGGAGCCCCTCCCTATGGAGGCGTCTCGTCTTCTTAACGTCCCTGAACCCTATAGACTCAAAAGATGCAAACGCTGCGCGGCAAGTCACTTGCTATAGTTGATAGCAACTATACAACTTGTGCATAAGCACAACACTCGCTGCAGCAGTTACCAGTGCATACCACAAAGATTTAAAGAATGAAAAGATGCTCTGACACGCTGCACAGTTTATGGTTTTAATGTCATAAAGCATAATGATTGTTCAGCTCCTAACATTTTTATCAGTAGAATAAAATTTGGATAAAATAGGAGTTAATAACCTGGGAAGAATTCACTCACCTGTATCGCAATTTCTTGTATTTCATGGACATGTTCGAACAGTATCCTTTGGTAAACGTGTCTCATAGCCTCTTGCAATAATTCCGGCGTCCACATCAGGAACCGGTCTGGGTTACAGTCTCCGTTGGGCACGTTTTCGCCGCCGTTTTCGACGCCGTTGTTTTTCGGCGTGCTCGTGATGAGAGGTCTGGTGAGAGTCCTGAGGGTTTGGAGGGCTGCTTTGCGAACCGAGCTCGTCGAGTGGTCGAGGTACGGCCATAGGCGGGGGAGCACGTCCGAGAGATCAATGGGGCTGTGGAAAAATGGATCAATTTATTTTGTGTCGGTTACCTCCATTAACTACAGTCTGTGAGTGTGATGGGACTTCAAATAAACAATTTTGATTCCAACCCACTGACCTCTATGCACACTGGACTGGCTGCTGTTATAATATTTTTGTGCCTATTTGATTTTGGCCATAATGGCGCTGTAGGCCATACTGTAGTCAGATACGAGTGTGCATGGAACTAAAATTTGTGATTTTCTTTCTCGCTTATTCTTATGGTTACTCCATATAATGTACGTCAAAATTATATTATACTCTCGGGACACTAGTAGTGGCGCTTCAAATTGGCACACAAAACTAGCTGTAATTTGTATGAGCCTGTATAGAGTATAGAGGTCAGTGTGTGTCAGGGACAAGCTGTCAAATACAAAACACTTCATTCAATAGTCAAAATACTCACTGTAATAAACTAGCGGCTTCAGGCAGCGAGCACAGCGCGGCCAGCAGCGCTAGATAGGCGTTTGCTGGCGCAGCTAGGTCGTCTTGGATTTGCAATAGAGTCCACAATCGCACAACGGCGGACGCTTGCGGATCAAGGCAGTCTAGAGTCAAAATACTCACTGTAATAAACTAGCGGCTTCAGGCAGCGAGCACAGCGCGGCCAGCAGCGCTAGATAGGCGTTTGCTGGCGCAGCTAGGTCGTCTTGCATCTGCAGTAAGGTCCACAATCGCGCAGCAAGTCTCGGCGCGTGCGGCGCGGCGGCAGACGCTTGGGCAGCGAGGGCACTGGCCGCGGCCGCCGACACGTCTTCAGCTACGTCTTCGAGACCAGACACGAGTTGTTCCACTGCGCCGCATTCTACGCCTGCCTCCTGCATCAGAAGAGGATACAAATACATACACAGTTGCTATTGGGTTTATAACTAAAGCCCGATCGCCGAGCACGTCGAATTTCGTCCAATGACCCCAAGCTACCCATCCTTATCACTGCGACCGCCCGTCGCGCAGTCGCTCGGCGACCGGACTTTACCGAGGATTAAATTAACAGTAGTTTCCAGATGCGTAACCTGATGATGGTGATGTTGTTTGTGACGAGCTGATAACCTGATAAATTAAATGGATTTGCAACATAACGGCACATTTAACAGGGCTCTTTACCTTTCCGTTTCCTGTTTTGTTTATCAAAATCTTTTGTTCTATCATGTTATAACTCGCCAGTACAGTCAGTAAGCCAGCCTTGCGCTCTGGTCGCATTTGCGCGAACGCTACGCCTAGCATCTGCACTCTACATAACCTAAGACTTCTGTATAAACATAACAATATCTAACCTGTCTTGCAGCGAGCAGATACTTGAAGCCCAACAACGCTCCGTGCCTGGCTTCCCACTGCGACTGCCTAGCTAGTATTGTCAGCAAGCCAGCGACTTTGCGCACGCGGTCTGGCCTCATCTGCGCGAACGCTACGCCTAGAGTTTGCGCGCAAGTTTCACGCACTGGTGCTACTACCTAAAAGGGAGCGAAGTTTATTCATTTATTTGATTTGCAATAGGTATAGAAAGAGTTTACAGTCTAGGCTTGATGGGAAAAAATAAGATGTTCTAACTTCTAGTACAAAATACATTTAACTTATTTCTCAACTCGCGAATGCGCGCTGTGAGGGTTGAGGCGATCAACACAAGCAAATATTTGTATTTGATTACGTCTTGCGTACTCTGACTAATAAAGTACTTTCTGTCTTGCTTGCACACATTCAGGTAAAATCTGAATCGGACTTATGCGCACATGTATAAAGTAAAGTCAAATACAAAAAAGATTGAATTCAAAAAGATTTTCACAATCGAGCCAGTTGTCGATAAAAATCGGAAGATGTGAACTAGCTCGCAATCACGAGTTACATATGTCATACATTTATACCTGTATTTGTAAGGAAAGCTCACCTGATCGGAAACAAAATCACCGAACCTATCTAGAGCTAAGACACATAGCAACCGCAGCGCCATATCTTCTAACCATTCTTGGTGGGCATCGTCCATCTGTAACAAAAAGTTACAATATTGAGTGAGGGATGAATGAAAAGAAAAGATAATTTTCTGGTAAAACTAACATGCGCAAGATCAGAACTTAATCTTGTTTTGATCTACAATGATAGGGTTAACAAAAGTCTTTTTTTTTTTCGATTTCTGCGGTATCCGTTGAAACTAATTTACTAGCAGCAGTTTCATCGTTCGGTCTCGCCTAGAACAGTTGCGCTGGAAGCTCTAAGCATAAGCTATACTGTTTCTAAAGCCTGGTCCGTGAGCACGTAGAATTTTGTCCAATGACCCCAAGCTACCCATCCTTATTGCTCGCGCGTAATTATGTTGCTGTCGCGCTCGCACACTCACTGCGGGCGCGCGTCGCACAGTCGCGACAGCAATATACCTAATTACGCGCGAGCGATAAGGATGGGTAGCTTGGGGTCATTGGACCAAATTCTACGTGCTCACGGACTAGGCTTTAGTTTGGATTTCCATTTTGACAACTCACTTGTTCTTTCGACACGTCGGCCTGTATGCCCGCCGAAGCCACTATCCTCGCTCGCAGTAGCTCTCTCAAAGCGCTGGCCGCCCCGTGCCTCGATTCCCAAGCAGCGCTGAACAGCTGCGCTTGAAGCGCTGAGCACCACCACTCGAGAGGCCACCGCACTGACTCCCCCCAAACACCTGTGCAGTCTGGCACTGGACTACTGTTTTCCACTGTGACCAAAAGAATGTAAGATTAGGCTAAAAGAAGTCTGACTCTTATCTTATACAGCCTTGGCCAAAAGTATTGAGCACCCCCTAAATACTGCTTATACGTGATAACTATAAAAGATACTCAAAGATATTTGATAAAAACCTTTCTTTGACAGGTTTTGAAACATAAACTCACGGCACAACGTGCAATAAAACACGTTTCGAGATGTTTAGCTATGACACTGTAGTATTGTTAGTCTTTGAAAAATCATAAAAAATCTTCTTCCGACCTCGCTGCTGAGTTATCAGCTGAAATTAATACGCCGATTTCTGCAAGAACAACTCGCAGAAGACTCCAAGAAGCTGGGCTTAAGGGCTATACAGCCAGAAAGAAGCCATGGCTTTCTGTAAAGACCAAAACAGCTCGTTACGAGTAGGCTTTAAAATACCAAACTTTTACCGAGGAAGATTAGAAAAATATTGTGTGGTCAGATGAATCAAACTTTGAGGTAAGTTAGCCAATATCATGTATTAACAATACGCGACAATAATATTATAAAACTATATTTGTAAAAATAAATATTGGACCGAAAAACACTTAACAAAATTTCGTTACTTTACGATTGTTGGCACACCTGGTGTGACATTTGTCCGTCGTCGAGTAGACGAAGAATTTACCCCGGAGTGTAAGGTACCTACCGTCAAACATGGCGGCGGCAGTGTGATGGTCTGGGGGTGCATGAGCGCCGCAGGAGTTGGGAAAATGTTTGTGTGTAAAGGACGCATGGACTCTACAAAGTACATAAACGTTCTTGAATCCGCACTTCTGCCCTCGTTTACAACACTTTTTGGTGACACCAACATGGATAGCGTCAAATTCCAGCAGGATAACGCACCTTGTCACTAACGATGGCTTGGTTTAGTGACAATAACATCGAGCTGCTTGAATGGTCTGCCCAGTCACCAGACCTGAACCCCTTCGAGCATTTGTGGGGTCTATTGAAGGACAAGGTCCGGCGCCATTGAATAAAAACAAAAGAAGACCTAAAACGTCGCTTGCGGGAAGAGTGGAACGCTTTAACATGTGACGATTGTAATAAATTAGTACAATCTTTACCAAAAATAGCTTCTGCAGTAATTAAGGCAAAGGGTGGTCCAACAAAGTATTATTTTTTTGTTGTTAATAAACAATATAAAACTGTTAAAAACTGTTTTGATTCAGACACATGTATAATTCCTTCAAAATTAATAAATATCATGGGTGCTCAATACTTTTGGCCAAGGCTGTATTAATTTTAGCATTTTCCCGCGTGAAATTTGGTCTGTTAGAAAGAATGCCTATGCAATAATGTAATTTTCTACCGATGAAAAAAAACCTTAATTGGTTCGGTAGTTCCAAAAATAGCTTCCAACAAATAAACTCGCTAACTTTACCTCTTTTATGATATAATTATGATAGTAAATTGTATTGTTCTTTCCTACATGCACATTTAATAATTAGGTTATATGGTGATGGATTTACTGTTGAAAAATATAGCAAAGATAAAAATTTATAAGCGCCTATTCCGTTCAATTAGTTATATCCTTGTGGTAAAAGCGCGGTGAAATATCAAGGCCGATTGATCCCACGCGTAATTTAGATAGTTAACAGCGTCATACCATGATAGACTGCTATGGAGCTTAATTTAAAGGCATAGTGTGGGTGGCGCTTACGCATTTTATTGTCCATTTCATTTCATTAGTCAAGATGCCAAAATGCATTAATAAGATAAGAAGATAAGCCATTATGATACTACTAAGTTTCAGTGGCACTAGTTCGATCCTTGTTGACCGCTGCCGTGCTTGAGTATTGCGTTGAGCACAATCCTAAACCAAAGTATTCAGCTCAAGCTCGGCGAGCCATAGCCTGAGTCGGAGCAGAGCAATCGGGACTATTCCCACCTCGTGTTCCCACCACTGCAACTACTGTGTAGCCAGGATCTACAGCTTGACCGCCATAAAAACCCAACCAATGAAGGTCAAGTTTGTCCCGGGGGAAAGTTAAATGGAACGGAGCAGAGCAGCAGACGAATGTCCAAGTTAAAACAATAACTCAAGGCTCCGTTCTATTGGGCTCCGGTGGACTGGATACCGTCGTCGGGGGTAAGCCCCGCTCTTCTAGAGGGGAGAGACCCTCATAACCCACTGATGGTCGTCTCCAGCCAGTGGGTACATTTCCCGAAGAATGGTAACCTTTAAAAAATCAGTGTAATTGCCTTACCAGCAAACTCATCCAGTGGTTCCAACTTGATCTTCTTCCGATCAGGTTCTATAGGCGGCGTGGGGGGTGCGGACGGGCCTTCCTCGCTGCAGTCCCGCGACTTTTGTTTGCTGAACGCAGCCCGAGCTTTCCGCTTGGCGAGGTTCATCTCCCGCGAGCTGAGTGGCTTCGATGACGCTATAGGGACTAGCTCTTGAACTGGCCTCTAGAAAAGAAAAGGGGTATCAAATCTCCTGTTACCAATCAGTCATACCGAATCGTGTAACACTGTGACTCGTTGAGAAAAAAGCCTCATCAAGTCACACTAAGGCAGTGTTTTTCAACCTTTTTCATGACACGACCCCCCTAATGTGAAAAATATTTTGCGACCCCCCGACCGTTCGCTTTTTTTCATGCATTGTATAATGTTACAAAGATGTTGTAGAGACCGAATACTTAATCCGTACAACATTTATGCATTTGCATTATTACATTTCGGATAAATCTATCTTAAAACTTTACTGTTTTTTTACTGAGGTAGTTTTTACGGCCTCTCGCGACCCACAGGTTGAAAAACACTGGGCTAAGGGTACTATTAGTAATGTAATTTGTGAAATAATAATTAAAATATCAACTGAATGAATATGACAATGGTTGTCTAAAAATTGCCACCAGACGTTAAAATAGGCACTTACATAATAATTAACAAACTACAAACACGTTTAAATTAGCATACATTTCACCCATTAGTTTCTTATTTGTATAACCTGGTAACATTGCTATAAATTAACCACAAGTAGTAAATAAAAGTAGCAACGAAGGAAAACAATGGAATGTTTACCGTGAGCGATCTCATAACATTGGATAAACCACACGAAACACAATACAAGCTTATGTTATGAACAACTATTCTAAAATAATCGCAAATATTAACATTGTGATACAATGAAAAATATGGCAAGTTGTAGCTAGCTAAATTAACAATTCAAAAAATCTATAAATCAATACTGTTCAAATAATATGATGTACTCGTAATCTAAGCGACTCATTCACGTCAGAAAGAATAATGGAATCCATTCCCCAGCACTATATTGATTAGCAAGATCCATTAAGCAAAGTAATGAAGAGAAATGGGCTTGGCATCCATTACATTAGCAATAAATCTATTTGTCAATCAGGAAAAATATAGGTCAGACAACATTAGTGCCTATTTTAAGGAAAGTAGGTACTAACGGAATTGGATTAAAGTACCTTTTTCCTTGTATTTACTTCATTTATTTATTTTTCCTTGTATGTGATTTTTAAGGATAAGGTACAACAATGCGGCACGTTGATTGTGATCATATTAAAACAGTAATTAGTGTTGAACTATATAAGGTGTAAGAAAGTATCGATACTAATATTATAAATGCGAAAGTAACTCTGTCTGTCTATCTCTCATTCACGCCTAAAACACTGAACCGATTTTGATTAAATTTGGCATAGAGATAGTTTGAGTCCCGGGAAAGGACATAGGATAGTTTTTATCCCGGTTTTTAAAACACGGACGCGTGCGATAGTTTTTCTGTGACAGACAAAATTCCACGCGGGCGAAGCCGCGGGCGGAAAGCTAGTTGTGTTATATTGAGCAGCGCCACTACCAATTACCAAAGTGACACCATGACAAAGTGGCACTGCAGCGCTTTCTCACGCGTTGAAGGCGCCCATAATTATCATGGAAATCGAAAGAGTTTTCTACTGTAAGGTTTAACTTACCCTGGGAATTTCAGTCTTAATAGTTTGCTGCCTCGTAGGGCATAGGTCCTCGTTGCTGTAGACGGAGGCCAGGTCTACCCCAAGGTTCGCCGCTATGTCCAAGCCAAGACGCGCGTTCAACTGCTGACGTTGCTTCAGGATCCGCTCATTTAAGTCTGCCGTGTAAACAAAAACAGCGGTTAAAGAAGACGTCAAAAATGCAAAAAGTTTCATTACATTCTGACGATTATGTAGTTACATTCCGATTTTAAGTAAGACAACAAAGACGTGTTGAGAACTTTTTGGCTACTTTAGGTGTCACGAAATATTTGACGCATGCATTTTAGTTACAAAATAACACCTATTTTACAACTACTAATCATACCGCAGTGTTTACCTAAGTAGATATACAGCTACGTCCATAGATACGTAAACAGTACGACTGACGATAATTATGACGTCTTTATGACGAAAACGAATTAAAAACCAGTGAACAATGACTTTACTTTTCTGCTTTTTCAATCAAATATTTTATCATTTAACATTTAAACAGTACTTAATGTATAATACCCCCGTGATGTCACAAGGACTCAGTAGTAAGTACCTATCAAGTATACAACAAAATGTGAAGGTTGATGAATTTTTTTGTCAAGATTTTAGCGTATTTATTTTTAACCAAAGCTTCTTTTGTCTGGTCTTGGCTGGAAGCCTTTCAATTATTTCAACAAAAAAATGTTTCGTTCGTTTCAGCCAAATGACGTCCACTGCTGGACAAAGGCCTCCCCCAAGGTTTTCCAAAAAAATGTTTGCAAACCCCAAAACTTTGTTTCGACAACTTTAATGGTTTCAGGAGCCGAATGTTCTAATTATAACGAATGAGTTTTGTTTTTATTGTGGCGCAAAAAATGAAGACGTCAGCGTCGAAGCATGAATTCATTAGACATTATTAGAAATACAAAGTACAAACATTATCAATGAGCGCGAGAAACCCCTGGATGTGGACCGCTCGTAATATGGAAATCATTGGGCCTCCCCCAATTCCCTTTTAACCTTTGTCCAACAGTTGATATCCTTTGGTTGAAACGAGCAATTTAGCATATTCTCCCTTAATCGGCCTTTATATCCAAGGAAAGAGTGATCCTTTACTACTCTGCCGTATAGTTCCTGGCTATGCTAGGAAGGTTTCGAAGCAGTCACCAGCAGCAGACATGCTCAGATAGTACGATCGATGTCGAACGCCTCGCAGCGCAGCCGCCCGCATCTCTCCAGATCTGTCCTCTGCTTCTCTTGTCCCGCTGCAGGACAGCACTCACCGGCAGCAGACATGGCCTCCTCGTCCATGTCGTACTCGTGGCCCTCGGAGCCCATGAGGTGCGCGCCGTTGAGCAGCACGCGCTCGATGTCAAACGTCTCGCAGCGCAGCCGCCCGCTCTCTTGATCTGTCCTCTGCTTCTCTTGTCCCGCTGCAGGACAGCACTCACCGGCAGCAGACATGGCCTCCTTGTCCATGTCGTACTCGTGGCCCTCGGAGCCCATGAGGTGTGCGCCGTTGAGCAGCACGCGCTCGATGTCGAACGTCTCGCAGCGCAGCCGCCCGCTCTCTTCACACCTGTCTCCTGCTTCTCTTGTCCCGCTGCAGGACAGCACTCACCGGCAGCAGACATGGCCTCCTCGTCCATGTCGTACTCGTGGCCCTCGGAGCCCATGAGGTGCGCGCCGTTGAGCAGCACGCGCTCGATGTCGAACGTCTCGCAGCGCAGCCGCCCGCTCTCCAGATCTGTCCTCTGCTTCTCTTGTCCCGCTGCAGGACAGCACTCACCGGCAGCAGACATGGCCTCCTCGTCCATGTCGTACTCGTGGCCCTCGGAGCCCATGAGGTGCGCGCCGTTGAGCAGCACGCGCTCGATGTCGAACGTCTCACAGCGCAGCCGTCCGCTCTCTTCCAGATCTGACTTCTCTTTCTCTTCTGGAAACAAAAGTATACGGTCATCACATGTCCTATCATACCTACCTTATTTGTTGATTAAACCAATTCCGCAAATAAAAAGAACCATAAACCTCTCTCGTTCGAAATTAACGTGACTGATTCATTCGCATTTAGACTCAATAAAGTCAGTATCAAAGAGAGATAACAATCAGAAGATTTATAGCAAAACAAATGACCAAGATCTTAAATTAAATTAGGTGCTGGCGAATCTTTGTCTCTGTGTAAAAATAAATCCGAAAACATTATTCACTTCGGCACGCTTAATCCTTGATTCATAAAGCATACAAAGAGGATATTAATTACTTACACAGATGACCAAATATTTTCATTATGATAATAATTTTCCATTTAAAAATACCACACATGCAGCCATTCTTTATTATCTGCATGCACTTGCTCACACAGCTGTGACCCAAGTTTTTTAATGACGCAAATGTGTATGTTGAAATAAGAACCATTTTATAACAAAAAAAGGTCTTTGAATCAATCGCAAATTTATTTTGGGCTTCCGAGCCGTACTTTTGTAGGATGGTAAATAACAAAAAAAAAATAGAGATACAGAAATATTGGCCTTAACATTTTCATGGAATTTCAATTCTTCATTAATATGTAGACCCTTTTCAAGGCACATATAGAATAACTTCATTCGGTTGTGAATGCTATTAGTTGATGTCAAAACTAACCTAAACAGACAACTTTAACAGCTAAGCAAGTATATCTATTTTATTATTATGTTGATTAGGAACCTAAATGAATAGAAACAGCTGCCTAGAATGTAAATTACAGTTCCAATGAGGTTAAGGCGGTCACGCATTCACTAAGATTTTGATTATTCAATTTCAAAACAATACGCAGTCACACCTGAATGGATTGCGAAATACATTATAACAATTAACACTCAGTAACTACTGTAGGTAAAAGGCATTCAAATTGCTCTTATAGTCTGCTTAAGTAATGACAATCATCATAATGATTTTGTCATAGGTATCGGAGTGTATCAATGTATATCATCCCCTTACAGGTCAATAGGCTATGTCTCTGAGATATGGAAAATATTTAAGATACCTATGGTATGGCATAGATTTGGAAGAGATCTCATAATCATGAAGTTACAAATGAATTTCTTGCATAGAATTGAAAATTGTGATATTAGTGATAAAATGTCCAAAATAACGGGTCACATTGAGAAAATGACTGATTTACATCGTCCGTGACGAATATTCTACCACTCCAAAGTACAATAACCTAAAGTAAAATAGGTATTTTCCTTTTCGCAAGAAAGTGATCTATTTTTGCACATTTTTAATATGGAAAACTCCAGATTTCCTTGATTGTATCTCGCATAACCCGACAGTGTGAACTAGTGACACCGGCTGATTCAAAATAGATTACAATAAAAGGCTGCAAGGTCAAAGCAGATTGTTACTTACCTCCTTGCTATTTCAGATCTGGGTCACCGTCTCTGTTATTTATTAAGAGCAATTTTGTCTATGAATGACATAGGTTAGGGTTGCCTACTAGGGTGATATGACACTAAGAAGAAACAGGTAAAAAACATAGGTAATTGTAAGATTTCATACATAAAAGATATAAAAATAAAACGAAGAAGGCACAAGCAGGTCTGCATATAGCATTTAATGATCAATCAAGCTGAATTTCATCAGTGAGATTGAGTTGAAGTGAGGTGAGTTTTGGCATCCCTGTAGCTAGGACTGCGAATAGATAGACTCATCCGTTCTCACACTTTTGATCAAAGACAACCGGCAGAACATGTACAATGGCCGTCCTCAAGATCTCACGACTGTTGATCTTAATTATTGAGGAAGCATCGCTTGTTGATTTAACAAAGTAAAATAGAATCACTGATGAATTAGCTCAATGATATTTTGACTATTATGGATATGTGATAATGACGTTCTAATTTTATTATCTCCTCTGTGCCATTATTAAAGGACCTCAATTATCATGTGAGATGAGTAATGAATAATAATGCATCGTTTACTTAATTCCAAGAGATTATTTAAATATGAGGAAAATTTTACGTAAATAACTATAATTGGAATAATAGTTGTTGATTTAATAATTTGCGGTATAATGATGTCTGTTCTTATTTTTAATACCAATATTATGTCCTATCTTTATAGGGCCCAATTAATAAAAGTGGCCACACAAACAACAACAGTCGAGATAATTAACTTTGACGTAACTCTAACGTAACATAGCATAACGTTACGTTATGACGACTAAACCCTACAGCTTACAAGGTCCCAGCCAACTCAGCCAGGTAACAATAATTTGATAGTTATCAAGGCTTTGGTAGGCCTGCTAAGTTGTGTTAGTACAGTCTTTCTACTGTAAAGGTTCTGCGGGCAAAAACTAGTATATTATACTTCTAAACCTTCCTCTTGAATTACTCTATCTTATCTATTGATTAAAATGTGTAGATTAAAGATACGCACAGACAAATGAAGCTACTTTTATGTAGAGATGAGTAATGATGTAAGACGCTAGTCGGCCTTGCTACGAGTGGCACTAATTTGCCTATAATATCTAGCCGAAGCAGGGGTTCAGATGAAGTAATAAGAGTTTAAAACCTCGGTCATCGACTCGTTCGATTGAAGGGGTTAGATCTCAGCGTACAGACAAGTGAAGCGACTTTTATACTATGTAGAGATGAGTAATGGAATAAGACGCTAGTCGGCCTTGCTACGAGTGGCACTAATTTGCCTAATTCTAGCCGAAGCAGGGGTTCAGATGAAGTAATAAGAGTTTAAAACCTCGGTCATCGACTCGTTCGATTGAAGGGGTTAGATCTAACCATACAGAAAAGTTGAGCGACTTTTATGCTATGTAGAGATGAGTAATTAAGTAAGACGTTAGTCGGCCTTGCTACGAGTGGCACTAATTTGCCTAAATCTACCCGAAGCAGGGGTTCAGATGAAGTAATAGAGTTTAAACTCCTCGGTCATCGACTCGTTCACTTCACTTTTGTAACAGGTCGTTAGCTTGTTAAACTACAATTGCTCCCAGTGGCCCTATTAGGGCTGACACCACTGAATCTTGGAATATTTGCTTTTAATATTTCATTAAATATTTAAAGAGAGTTAAGGTATTGTCTAAAATGTTTGGAACTGGTGGACTCTATTTTTGTATTAAGAGACGGAGTAGACGGAGAGAAGGAGAAAGGGAAACTAGATTTTCTCTTTCGAATGAATGGAATAGAATATTGTTTGAATTTTAATTCGATAGGACCCTTTTTAATATTTACAGGAATAATTATCATGTGAAGAAAACATAACAATGACAATACAAGCTAAGAGACGAGACTAGCAAGCGACAGAGACAAGATTTTTTACTAAATTAAATTGTTCCGTTAGAGCGGTAGCGACCCTAATTGTATTAGGTTCACCGGGCCAGAGGTCATTTGTCATTAGTCACAGACTGATACCACTTATTGCTTGTACGGAGAAGGTAAAGATATAAAAAGATTCTTTGATAAAACAGATAACTTATGTACAGTCACATGTACTGTCGACGACGTCAAATAAGATATTTATTTACAAATACTCCATTGACAAAATGCCAGAATTTAGTCCGGGTTTTAGTGACTGATATGGTTTATTTTACCTAGTTATGAGGACAAATAACACAGAGATTAAATTTAAGAAAGAGAAGTTAATTGGCAGCTCGATACACATAAAAGGTATGTCAGAAAAACTAAAATGTCTCAAATCAATCACTTGATTGATTCACAATTGCCGTCGTTGATTCATGTCAAAGACGTACCAAATGGGTAAAATGCATAAATCTTCTCGTAAATAAAAATAAAATTACCAACCTTTTTTGCCCGTAAACGGAGATGGATGCCATTCCGGTACGTTTGCCAATATCGCTTCTACCGCCTGTTGACAAAAAATAATATTATAAGGTTTCTTACTTTAATCACATTTGCACACTAATTTATTGTCATTAATAATCGTCTCACTTGATTAAATTCATTATGTAAATTAATCTCGTCTGTAGTTGACCTGAGCTAGAACTTGGCGTACAATCATCATATTATGATTTCAGCCACAGGACGTCCACTGCTGAAGGCATCCCTCAATGACTTCCACATCGCACGGTTGGTAGCAGCCAGAATCCAACGCCTTCCTGCTACTTTTATCAGGTTCCCTTTTTAATTAACAAAGAAGAAGGACTAGCTGCTACTAACAAAATACCTAAATACTTGTGAAACAATGCACCCTTGAACAATAATTCCAGAAAGTACATACCTATATATAGACATTTGGCTTTCAATTGAAAATATCTTATTATATGGCCTCTACATATTTATTTATCTCTCTTCTCCACATATAATTTCCAAATAAATCTACTGTGGCAATAACTACAACCATAGAACCATCAAATATTAAACATACCTACATTTACACAAAAATCGGGTAGATAAAAATCATACATTGTTGTAGCCTTTTTGTAGGCAATGAATATTATATCTGAATACTGAATAGGTAATCGTATATTTCACAACAGATTTGTCAGTTTCACTTTCAGGCATACAAAGTGTGCATTAAATCTAAATCCATTATGTATTGCGCTTATGTAGTCTATCCTTTTTCAGAACTCATACGTTTTTCATGAACAGTTTATGCACTTAGAGGGTTCGTAGCAAATACAGGGCGATATTTTCGGACAATGTGGACAAAAAAGCTTAAACCATCTTATTTTAACTTTGACAAACGTCAAAAATCTGTCAAACTCCATACCTAAAACACCAGTTATCATTATAGTTACGGTCAAAGTTAGGTGGTGTAACTTAGCCTTAAGTGTGTTCGAAAGGACATTGGGAACTTTAATATGAGAAAATGCCCCACGGCGGACAAAGATGAAACGTATTTTATTTCAAAGCTTTATACTTGTAGGTATATTCACTTAAAGCGCTATGTTGTGAAATATGGGAATTCTGAGATATGACGAGTCTAAGTTGAAAATATATTTGTCTAAAATGATTTGATATTTTTACATGTTATGTTGTTTGGCATTGCAGAGTAACCAATAAAAGTAAATAAAATAATATAAATAAATAATAATATAAATAAAATAATATAAATAAATAAAATATTATAAATACTTAAATTAATATTAGACAACATCTCATATATTACTCCAACCCAAAATAAGTAGCTAAGGCATTTGTGTTATGGAAATCGGGAACGACGAACCACAACACACCCAAACCAGAGACAATGTGAAAAGATCGTTTTATATATTGTCCCGGCCGGGAATCGAACCCGGGACCTCAGGATTGGCCCGGCACACCTTGAAAACCGGTGTGTGCGCCTCTCCGCCACGGAGGTCGTCAAAAATGTTACCTTAATCTTATATATATAAAAGAAAGTCGTGTTAGTTACTTCGCTTATAACTCAAGAACGGCTGAACCGATTTAGCTGAAAATTGTCAGGGAGGTAGTTTAGAGCCAGGAGAAGGACATAGGATACTTTTTATCCCGTTATTTATTGCCATTAAGGCGGAACAAAGTTCGCCGGGTCAACTAGTGTAAAATAAAATAAAATATTAAAACTTCATTTTCTCAATATTCCCATATAAGAGAGAAAAAAAAATGCACGGGAATTCATTGGATATTAGTATGTATCATCTGTGATAGGTTTCGTTTGTGTCCGCTACTTTTCGAAAAGTGGGGCAATAAGTTCCCAATGTCATTTCAAATAACACCGAGTCTACAGTCTGAGTTTAACCAAACACATCCGGTAATTTTAAACGCAACGTTCATGGTCGTTTAACTCTCTCTATCAACTAAACTCTTTGTTATTCAATTTTAAGAGAGTGGGTAACAAAGCCGTCAGGACAGACATAATTCGGCAGTGTTCCAGCGTAATAAAAAATCATTCACTTACAAACATGCATCTTTTTACTGTAAGTAATAGATGTAATTAAAAATTATTCAATCTATCCTTAATTCCTAATTTGTATGATTTACATTCAGAAATAATACACTAAATGCAACTTGCACAAAAGAAACAGCTGTATACTGAAACTTCAAAGCAACACAAGTAATATAGGGTAATATTTTCATCATACGAAATGTATTTGATTTGAAATTCAATTGGATTGCAGCTCGTAAACAAAACCAGACAACTGAGTGCATGATAAATATAAAAACAGACACCTAAAGTGATGTGGCCAGAACGTCTGTGCCATATCCGGTGCACTTTCCTCTGCCATTATGTTCAAGTTCATTAAAAACGTTTATAGCGCGGACGCAGCCAATGTCGAAGCGAGTCTCCACAATTTAACAATGATGGAACAATACGACTTTCTGTCATGGTTCGGACAAACGATTTTTTGCATTTTGCGAAAGGGCTTTGGTTTCTTTATAAGCATAGAGGTTTGCCTGAAACCAAATTTTTAAATGTAACCGTAGGTAACTCAGTGGTCAGATCAAATCGGCCGGCTAAGGTAGTAGTGGGTTCGATTACCAACATTACCTATTTACAATAAATATTGTATCTCACTCGCACTTGAACCATGTCTGTCTATGTCGTTATTTGATTGCGTTCCAGAGTTCCAGACTTCATACATAAAATCATGAAATGGATACCTTTTTAGCGCACGATCTTTTGCACTATGCATATGTAGAGTCAATGACACAGTCACCTATGCAGATCGCATCGATCGTATCCGCCATATCGCACCCTTAATAATATAGGGGCACAACTCAAAATTTTTGGTTTTTTACTTTTTGTACTAGAGAGGCATATTTTCGTCAGTTCTACAAGATGGCTTTCACAGAAATCGAAAACAATGATCAGATTAAAGAGTTCTACATTTTGTGCCCCTTCCATACTTTCATCTATCTTCCCGCTAGAAGGGCTGAATCAGAGACATGCCGATATTTGTCGAATCCGGCCCCCGCGACTGTGGTCCAATTTGGAGTTGTGCCTTTGTGTGACAAACTTTTAAGTAAGTGTTAGTGAGCTAAGTCTAATTAATTCCATATATTTCTAATAATATGTTACATTTTCATTTTTATTACATTGATAAAGTCCCGTTAATCATAGAAAATTATAAAATATAACTTTAACTTTAGTTAGGCGGACCATGGATGGGTGTTTGTAGTTAAATTTATAACTCTCCTATAAAAGTAATTTGCTTCTTGGTATTAATTTTCATACCTATTGGTTGATTAGGAGCCTATAGAATGTTTTATCGCGATGCTAAGAAATAAAGCGGTGGTTATGAAATACTTCCCGACAAATAAACTAATGATTTATAAAATAAGAGACATACCTACGTGTTAAGGCTATTAACGTTCGCTCGGGGCTCGGGTTGGCTTTTTTCTTTGTTTATTTCATGAATAAACGCACTAGTCAGCCAAAAGGTGAATTACTTTAATATGTTAGTGTTATAATTTATAATTATATTCTTTAATTTATTACGGTCACATAAATTGATGCTAATTAATCACTCAGATTCTGAGGACTGAGGATACATCGAATTTATTTTAAAATTATCTTTTCACGTATTAAGTTACTACAATTTTACTGATCAGCTATTAGACCTTGAAATTTTCAGTTTGTCTAAATTTAAGTTCTAAAGTGCTTTTTGTCTTAAAAATGTGAGTTCGTAATGTAATCTTGTGTTAACACCAGTTTTTATTAATATGTGGCAAATATTGTACACAAAAGCAAAGAAAAAAGATCACGGAGTTTGTGATAACAAACCAAGCATACTCTGGGATAAAAATTGTACAAAATAATAAATATTGGGTGTCCAATATCGTCGTAAACCTTGTGTACCTAGACTCTTTGCAATACTGAAGTCAAGCAGGACGTAAAGGGCTTCTATTTGGAGGGCCAAAGATATGTATTGAGCTTTCTAATCACTAAAATGATCAAAAGCAAAATGATGATGAGTACGGAAAAATTAAAAGCAGCTATCTTCGATGGACTGCAAATCCGTGCTCTTATAAAAGACTGTATTTGTAAACCATATAACACAAATTGAATCTGAAGCATGGCTAAGGTGCTTTAGTAGTAAAATATTTTTTGGGGAATGTTAGAACACCAGAATAGATATTCTTGTGTTCAAAATTGGTTGCTAAAATCCTTCAAAAATTACACACGCCAATTTGAGTATTAAATTGTATTTTTTACAATAGCCATTTGAACTGATTCCCACATAATGTGGGTGATTATAGTAAGGGACAAGGAGAACGGTTCCTTCCACCAGGACAGCAGGATAGTGGAAAAAAGATACCAAGGTACTAGCTGTTGGACTTTAATAAGTGATTATTATGAACAAATCCATAACAGAAAACCTTACAGAAAAAATTTTTGTAGGTTTTTTCTTGATTTGATAAAAAGCATATTTTTTATAGGGTAAGAGTCCCTATCTATCTAAGTAAAAATATGTTGAATGCATAAAATTAGTATTTTCATGTCGGTTTTCTCAGAGAAATAGCTAATAGTCTTTATTTTAATCTAATTCGACATATCTAATAATTTTCTAGTATTCAGCACCCTACTCTTATACTGAATTGGCTATAAGCTACTATACCGCACAATAACTGTCCCCAATGTTGTTGGGCGTAAATCAATATAAAAATCGAATAATACACTTATTTTTAAATATTAGAGAGCAATATTAGGGAATATGCCATATAAAACAATTCAGCCTAAGGATTAGATGGGCACAAGTACAAGTAATACCCAAAATCACAACAACAGAAATAGTAAAATAAAGGCCTAACTTTGAAATATTTTTTTAAACAATTTTTTTACATACTCATAATCAATATTTTCAAAAATGTCTCATGTCAAATTATATAACAGATACCAGTGATGAAGTATGCCTAATTTGAAAGTTGTAGCTGATAAAATGAAGATTTTAGAGCCAATTATGTAAAAAACCGCGATCCGCCGATTGGTTTTTTGGCTTTTCCCAAAAAACTGAATTTTGGAGTTGTGCCCATTCATTATTAAGGGTGCGATATGCCCTCTCAACTAAGGAGATACGCGTCCAGAAGATTAATATCTCAATCAGACAAAACAATGTAGCCAATTATGCGTCAACAATGGCCGCCGCAAACAAACAAGCGATTCCTCAAGCCGGCGCGCGCGCAGCCGCCATTGAATACAAATGGAGCGTGAAATCACTTGCTACTACACCCTGCAGTCCACTCGTTACCTTTGGAAATAATGTTCATTGTGTATTTATACGTGAATGAACGACCATTACGCTCCGTGTAGATAGGTACGATAAAGTCATGATGATGAGCAAAAATATTCAGGGTTTGTTGACGCAGACCGATTATCATCATTATTTGATTATTTGAAGTATAAAATAAATAGTCTAGAAAATAGTTCGTCTGACGATGTCAGCATTTATTCAAATGGTCAACTAATAACAGATTTTATGAATCGCCGTAAAAATTATATTCGTTTTTCAATCTCAAGTAGTAAAAAAATTTTTGTACAGACCTATGTTGTTTATGTCTAATCTAAGAAATATGAATACAAATATAATCTATATACTAATACTTATAATTTACAGATGACAGAAAAAATAACATAACATACTACTTAGACCAAGAGTCCAAGAGAATTGTATTACTAGGGATATTCCGATACTAATAAATACGAGTAGGTACTCGATACTTTTGATACGATACCAAGTATTTATTGTATCGAATTAATTTTGCGATACATAACGGTATCGAACCAAAAATACTTGGTATCGAATCAAATCAGCAAAACAACCGAAAACGAGATGAAGTTTCTCTTTATTTATCAAATCCAGTAGTTTCTCTTAAAAGCAACCCATTTGTAGAATGGGATGACATGAAGTTGGTGTCTCCTTGTCTTTACAAGTATGCACAGCAATATTTAATTGTTGTTACAACATCAGTTCCTAGCGAGTGCCTTTTTTCCAAAGCCGGTGCAACAATGACACAAACAAGGAATAGATTGTCTTCAAAATACCTACCTTGAACAGTTACTGTTTTTGGGCAATCTTAATGCTGAAGAGTTTTTTGTTTAAATTAATAATAAGCCTAATAAAAATTTATAATAAATAAATAGTTGTTTTCTTCTCAATTTTGTTCAAATTATTGTCCTTCAACGTTCATTGATAGCACCCTCAAAATAATAAAACAAAATAAAAGTTCCAAAAAGTAGCGATATCAGTAACTATCGATACTTTAAGAGTACTTATTTAAGTAGTATCGAAAAAAGATTTGAGTATTATCGAAATGAGTAGGTATCGATACTTAGGTGGTATCGGAACATCCCTATGTATTACAAGTTATACCGCGGGCAAAAGCTAGTACCTACTTAGATATTTGCCAACCGCGCCGCTGCACAGTAGTTTGATTTTNCGATCGTATGTCCACCTATTTTTAAATTCAAACTACTGTGCGCTGGGTACCTCAGCTCCCATCCGCGTAAAGTTTTGCGAGTGAAACCCCATTTATTTATGTGTGGGAGATTATTTGCGATTTTGCTCAATTCGGCAAAATCACATACAAAAATTAATAATCAATTTATGGTTATTAAATATTTGACGAGACTAAAACCACACCGCAACTTATAAAATAGGAAAAAAACAAATGATACCGCGAGCTAAACACGTACAGCGCCATCTATTGGTAGCTTTTAAGATTTCTTCGTAGTAATACCACACAATAAATACTAGTGATACACAAATGTTTTGCATACACAATTACACAACCGAAATAGGACATCCGTATTTATTAACATTAGCACAAGTGTAAATAATAACCAAACTAAAATAAATTAGAAGTGTACGTGTTAGTGTAGATTGTAACATCCGCTGCAGAGTTGCAGCTAATGTAGGGTTGCCAAGCATACTGTTTTTCCGGGACATGTCCTGGTTTTTTAGATGTCTTGTAAGTTTTAAGTTTTTTAATGTTCCCTAATGGCCCTAACCTCTAAGGGACAAATTTAATCTTCACTGGGTGGGTTTTTTATCGGTGGTGAAGCTGTAAATCCTGACTACACAGGAGTTGCAACACGGTGGGAACGAGTTGGGACATAATGATCTTTTAAGCCTCAGGATCATTAAGACTTAAGATGTTGTTTTTCTGTTTAATTTTAGCGGTTTACTTAGTTTTTTTTTTCAATGAATTTCATTCTCTCTCTTTTTATTTTACAACTGCTCTCGTTTATAGTGCGACTTGGTTCCAAACCGAGCCGCCCTGGCATTTCTACCATCAAATCCTGGATTTTAATAGTTTGGAGATGGCAACCCTAAACTAATATCAATTGCCCTGAAACATCCTGTGCGTTCGGGAGACCTGCGTCAGAACATTTGTATTTCGGGACACGCTATTCATTTGAATGGCAAAATATTCTGTGTGATATAAAACAGACTGCACGTACGAAAAATAACTTTACTCAGCCTACAACAGCATAAAATACAAGTGATATGATAACTTTATGGATGAATTAAACTTCAATAATCCAGAAGTAGGGAATGCAATCTCGTTCTCGCGAGATCGCGAAATTGGCGAGATCTCGCAGTATTGTTATTCATAAACTCGCGGGATCTCGCTTGAGCCCCAATCTCGCGAGATTTGCATTCCCTATCCAGAACTAGTCGGTCGGTCGATTTAAACTTCTTGTAACTTGTTTTGTTGGAGGCTATGAACTAAGATAAAGTGATAAAAGCTTTATTAGATTTTTTTCTGTCTGATGATAAATATTATTTAACATCTAATTTCGATAAGAATTGCTGCCTACTTGACCCCTTTTCAGCGATATACATAATTTTTTATCAGCATTTATTATGTACACGATAAGTTTGCTTTGCAACTTTACTGTGTATGAAATAAAATCAAATTAGTTCCACCAGCCAACTGTTTTATAGATTTGAACAGTACAGAACAAATTTTCTGTTAATATGTACATATATTATTATGTAAATTCAGAATTCGTAATATTGTTGTGCCTCAATGCGTGGCAAAGATCACAGCGCAAAAGCAAATATTTCGTTATACTACTTAATCTTAGAAGGATTTTTTCTTCTGTACTTTCCTCTTGTTTTCAGTGAAATATAATTAATTATAATGATGAATGACTCTCTAATTTTAAATGATACTTTGAAATAGAGCTGACCAAAAGTCCGTAGTTCGTGATGTGTAACTTGGCAAAAGCTTGTTCAACAGAGCAATAGAATGACTAAATGTTGTCTGGTAGTGGTATAGGGTCTGTCAGTGAAGAGGAAAATAATCATACTCTTTAAAACCTGTAACATTCGGAGCAATTTTTGATATCACATCCATAGGACGTCCACTGCTGAACATAGGCCTCCCCCAATGCTTTCCATGTTGATCCATTGGTAGCGGCCTGCGTCCAGCGCTTCCCTGCTGTCATCAATCCTAGATGTAAATGTTTGTTGCAAACAGTGTCCTGATGGCTATTGTCTTGTATGTCACCTGTTTTGAGACAATTAAAAAAATACTTTCTATTCTAGTCATGTTCTCCCTTAAGATTAAGAAGAGCGAACGTGATGGGGTATTTTCATAGATAAACAGTAGCATACCTGTAAAATCAGCAAGACCTAAGATTGTCAATTTTTGCAAGACGGAGCGAGATCAAACGCGAAGCTCAAGACCGAACGCGATGGAGGACTGTGGACCCTCTGCCCTATCTAGGGGACATAGGACCTTAATGCCCGTTTTCACCATCAATCCCTAGGTAATGTTTAAGTGACCCCTATGAAAACAAAATTCCTGTTATGTGTTACCATAGGGGTCACTTAAACATTACTTAGGGATTGATGGTGAAAACGGGCATAAATCAAGTAAGGCTCAGAACAGACGGTGAAACGAAACTGCAACTGCTAGTTACTTTTGAGTTGTATCTAAGTTTCTGCCATAGCGTCCGTTGAGAGACCACACATGACACGACCAGTTTGAAAGTTTCTGGGCCTAAGTCATACCTGTGAGGCCGCGATCCTGGTCTCCCAGGCCGGCGAGCGCAGGTGCTTCATGAGCCTGCTCAGCAGCCGGTGTAACTCCTCAGGGTGGGCCTTCTGCACTTCGCCCAGCTGCCTGGCGGCGGCCCGCCGGGTGGCCGCGCCGGCCCCCGCCTCTAGCAGCACGAATAGACGGTCTAACCTGATAACAAGGATGATATTGGGTTACTTATTTGTAACAGTGGAGCTACTATATCTAAATATTATACATATAAAAGGAGAAACTGACTGACTGACATATCAACGCACAGCCTAAACGGCTAAACGTAGGCACTTGAAATCTGGAAGGGACGTAGCTTAGGTACCGTAGAGGTGCACTAAGAAAGGAATTCCTGAAATTCCCACGGGAACGGAGCGGGAAAATCCTTTTGTATGAAAAATCTAAACCGCTTAAGTTAGACGCTTGAAATTTGGCATGAGGGTACCTTAGTAAACTTAAAGCTTAGTTACAACAGGATATTGCAAAATTCCCACGGGAATGGGAGTATTGGGAGTGAACGGTGAAGGGGTCGGGCTAGTCGACTCGAGATCCGAGGAACGCGGGTTCGAATCGAAAAAAATCGCTCAACTCTTGCGGTGAGCCCACTCGTAACACAAGCATATTCAGCTTACCACGAAGGGCTAACGGGACTATTAGTAATTTGTGCAATAATCTTTAAAAAAATCTATTAGAAGATGCTGGTATGAGCGTGAACGAGAGAACTTATATAAGAGTCCAAAATGTGGAAATCGCATTACGGAATAAGCTCGAACAATATAATTGACGAAAAACTTCAAGATTTTTCTAAAATAATAAGTCCGTAGGAGTTAGTTACCGGTTTGATTGCCGCTTTTGCTGATACCACTTTAATAAAACATAAATAATACCAAAACGGAAAAAACAATGGGTTCAACAGCATTATAATTATGTTTGTCCTGTCCATACTTTTAATGCGTTACATTTTGGAAAGGCAAAACAATTTCGTAGTTCTGGAGCAAATGTTGAATCTTATGCAACTGTTATTGATTTATGATGAGTGAGTAAGCGAGGTTGTGATTTCCAACATCCTGTATTAGTAATGTGAACTCGTATTGCACGATAACACGAGTAATTTAATTAAAATAATTCGAGCGGACGTACTTACTTATGTGTACATAGTACTTTTTAAGAATGGTAGTTTTTTTTAATATGGTAAGTATTAGATTATTTTTACACTAATTGCAATTTGGCGAAATTGCAGCGTTTTTTTTTTTTTTTTTTATGTGGAGGCAAACGAGCAGACGGTAGCGTTTTGTTCTCTTGTTATGACGAGCTCTATGGCCAGCTTGGCATCTTTATTATGTATGGGAAGATAAAGTTTATGGCTGGGTAATGGGCTAATGGGTTAATCCTATAAGTACCTACGTAAGCCGTACCGGTACCGGGTCACAAGTATCAAGTATGATAACCCTTAATCATATCATTGTGTGTAACGTATATCCAACATTTCTGTAAAAACTGAAAAATTGCAGCATACGATGCTAATGCAATTATTGATACAATTTTTACCGTTATCGGTTATTTACTTGACCTAACTGGCCTTAAATATCGGTCACTCACACTGGGGCATACAATACAAAGCGCTCGACTCTACCTAGAATCCTAACCATCTCTTGTTTCAAACAAAATGAAACTACCACTACTAACTACTAATTATTGACCATAATATTTATTTTAAAATTTTATAGAAATATTTGTTTTTGTATGAATACCGCGGCGAGACACTTCGTGCCTTGGCATAATATGCTGAAGGGTGACCTTTTTGGTACATTTTTGTAATGAAAAAAAGCAATTTTAGATATAATTTTAGACCCAAACCCATTGTAATTGGCAGACGCTAACAGAATAATGGATCATTGTAATAATTACAATTATTACGCAAAATTATAAGTTGCAATAAAGGCAGATAAAATACGTGTTAAAGATTTAATAGTTATAAAACTGTTATAAGTGGATACCTACCTACATTCATCACTCGGACCAATAACCTCTGTCTTCGTAATGGTCAAACCGATTGGACCAATTTGTTTCAATGAAGCTTGGAGCAATAAACTTTTTTGCGATAACTTGTCAGCAGTTATAAATCATTTACCAGGTGTAATTTAAAAAAAACTGTCTCATGATTATAAAATACACGATAGGTTTAATACAAGACCGATCGATATAATTCTGATAATTAAATTGTATAATGGACTACGTGTACAACCTTGCAGAAACCCCATCATTATTCTTATATAAAATGAATTTTATGTCCTTGTCTTTACATTTCGTTACTGATAAGGGAATCTTAGCACGATGTATGAGACAATAGTATTATACAAAAGCCCTGTTTTGGTATAATACTGGTGTACTTTTATGTGCCGAATAAAATATACACAAAGCTACTAAGGCTAACTAGAAACCCTGGAAGTCTGGCTAAAATCATATTATGTAGATGTATGCTTTCATGCGATCTCACACAAAGTGTCACATATTTATCAAACTTTTATCCAGGTCTCCTGAGTTTTTCCACGTCTTTTCCTTACGCACATGTCATCATCGTAGATAAGAACTATTTTGAACGTAAAATGGGTTATCTTACTGACTCTGGAATTCACGTGGTCTCACAAAACGAAGTGGGATTTAATTCGCGTTTTATACAGACGACAGCAGGTCAACCGATCTTACGATCTTATGCAGTCGTAATAGGAGCTACTTTACAACAAATATGTAGTCTGATGAGCTGTCAACTATGCCTAGTTTCCAAGTCAAAGGTCAGTAGCAAAAGCGCTAACTTCAAGCACTTCAAGCGACAATAATTTTCAATCAAGTCGTCGGGTACATTGAGACGTCGACGTTGACATGACCTTCTGGCTAATAGGATATACTCGCAGTAGTACTTTTTACCCGACTGCGCCAGAAGGAGGGTTATGTTTTTTCACCTTTTGCGTGGGCTGTTACAATCCTGTTTGTTGTAAGAGTTTATGAACCATGATCTTATGAGCTTATGATCAAGAGCTTAGTGTGCCATATGAAGCACGAAATATCCACGATTTTCATACATTCATACCACGAGTGAGTCAAGTTTAGAGAATAAAAACTCCGCTGACTAACTACTACCCGTTACCATGAATTATAATGCCATAAATAAATAATATGTAAGTAAATACTTGTAAGGAAAACTTAGAGAAGTAAAACTCACCTTGAGGTCATTTTGGCAGTTTTTCAATCACTTCAGATCGTATAATTTATCCTGAAACAAAAACAACATTGTTATGTACATGTCTATTTAAAAACAATACTATAGCGTAATAACTAACTGCGTATACACTTTGGTTTCTCACTCGTATTTTTATTTCGAGTGAGGAAATGTCATTAACATACGGTTTTTAAGCTTCGCGGTTCGATAATCTTTTTTTAATAAAAGAAAAATGTATTATTAGTCTACTTTCTAGATTTGTATTGTATGCAACTAACTAACGTCATGTTAACGTAAGAACGTAACACTGTATAATTAGATAAAACCAATTCCGCACGGGAAGCGTCGCTCACCAGTGCGGCGGAAGTTAAATTGTAGATAAATAAAAATAATCATATTTTTACTTCCTTGTAAGCACAATGTTTTATATGAAAATAAAATACAACGTTAGCCGCTATCGTGAAGCAGATAAAGCGAAACCTCCTATCCATCATTCTTTACGAAATACGCTAAGATTAAACATGCGTAAGTAGAACATACTTTCTAAGTAAACACTCGGAGTGGCATTCTGGCGTATCGTAACGTAAACTCTCCGATGTTCATAATCATTTTGAATTTTTGATAGCCATTAATTTCTGCTTCATTTAGATAAGTTGGTCACTGGGCCTGTCCCTTTCAGTAATTTGTTAAGGGTAACAAACAAGCTGAAGTCAACGACATAGCGCGCAGAATTACCAAACATAAATGGCACTGGGCGGGGCACACAGTTCGTAGAACCACAGAACTGGTGGCCTTTAGGGCAGAAAAGTTCTCGATTGGCATCCACGGTCCGGAAGAGGTAGTTTGGGCATACTAGGTAGACTGACTTATCCGAAAATCTGGTGATATTCGCGCTTGGTAGTCGCGGGAAGCACCTGGATTCGGGAAGCACCTGGATGCGGGCAGAGCAGGACCGGTTGTTATGGAAATCCTTGGAGGAGGCCTGTCTTGCAAAGGACGTCATTTGGCTGAAATTAACGAAGGCTGCAGTCTCGTAAAATCTTAATGGGGGACCTTCGCGATACACGTCTAACACGTCGCTAGGAATTCAGATTCTTGATTACATTAGAACGATACACGTGTGGTGCTGTCGCGATGTCGGACGAAAAAGCAATTCGTTAATTCGTTAACCGCATGATTGTATTTTGTGCCAGTCATTAAGTTCATATTTCCGATAGGTATTATTAACTTTATGGTGCCAGTCTGATTGGAAATTGAAACCAAGATATAGTACCTAGCCCTAAGTCCTTTCCCTCTAATTTACATATTTTTTTACACAAAAAAAACCCTTTATACTTTGATGGGACTACGCGACTTGTGCACCAAAGCTAATCGCGATTTACAAAATATATTTTTTTATGTAAGACAAGGCAGATATTTGACCGCAATCGCACCTGGTGTTAAGTGAGATGCAGTCAATATTCACGTCTTAAAAAAATGCGAAGGGTCTGTCTGCGCCAGAACATCCGAGTCTAGTCTGCCACATGTTCACATGACACTGAACAGTCTGGTGGGCTGTAACACATGGTAATTTATAATGTGACGATTCTTTTATAATGTCTGTAACATTATGTATGGGGAGCTCGCAGTCCAGTCATTAAGTTGGCGCCCACCGCGGTGGTCTAAACTTTAATTAAATTAAATAATAAAAGAAGGAAACATGGTTTGAGATAATAAAAAATATTTCTTAGTTTCTTTTAAATCTTTCTTATCACTTGACATATTTTTTCTTCTTTCTAATTAAAGTCATAGCGTTATTTGGCTAGCTATAATATAATTAAATTACAAAAGTTCAGATTAGCACCCTTTAAAAAATACATTTACAAATTGTATGATAATGTTAACGACTCACGCTACGCACAGTTCAACTGTCGCCGACAGTTCCGACAGTATCAAAACACAAGTCATGTTCGGAAAAAAACATAATAATGCCTAAGTAAATAAGACAGCAGACTAACTAATCATTTGTATAAGACCTTTTCTCGTAAGAGCAGTCGCGACACAAACAAATATGCGCGCGCAGTTTCAATGCTCAATGAATGGTCCACAACTGCTATCTGTGCCCCTTTTATAGACAGATGACTCAAAACTCGTCCTAAAGCTGTTTTTCATATTCAAATCCAAACAAAACCAAATAAAAAGGCAGTCTGTACTCTGTTACTATGTCGTCATTCAAAAATTAGTTCTTTTATTAGCAACAGACATGGGTTCAGACGACTCCACATCAAGCTGAGCACTGTTGTATCTTATTTTGTTGCAATAGATACGATTTTGCAACAGAAATGTTTTTGTACAGCATTCTTTATTATTTTATTTTTCGTCTGACACCAAAATACAAGTCACTAAACTTTTAGGCTGGGTTCTGGGTTGCACCATCTTACTTTACATCAAACTTCATACAAAAAAACACTGGTTATTGTTATTATAGTTACTGTTAAAGTACTTTTTTATATTTTTAAACTGGCAGAAAGTGGTGACTGAGTTTGTTGCGGCGCTTGCCAAATGTTTGTCTCGAAGCACTGGTAGGGAAAAAAATGAGACATGTAAAGGTTCCTTAAGAGCATTTGCCGATTTGTAAGTACTAATTTAATTAGTCTACACAAATAAAGATAATTTTGATTTGATTTGATTTGAGTAAGCTGGTGCAACTCAGCCCTCATGAATGAGTAAGTCAGTAGTGACAAACAACAGTCTTTCCTGTTCACAAAAAAATTGTAAGCATGTTATTAATAAATATTTTGATCACCTATCTAACAGTTGATCTATTCCTTAAAAAATAACTAACCATAATAAAAATTGCTAAATCAAATACATAGTCTAGAAAGTAACAGGCCAGCTGTAATAAAAATTAATTAATGAGGCAGGTATTTGAACCATTTATGATACTAATTGGTTTATTTAATTGATTCGTTTATATCGCTTCATATTTCTTCACATCAACCATTAAAACACACTTGGCCTATAAAAAAATCACAACCCCACACATCAGGGAATCAGACGTTTACTTAACAAATAGTAAAGATTTATAACATTTTATTTTTTAAATATAAAAGTGGTCTTGTAACATTGTTAATTTTCGACTTATTTATTGCTTATTTTATCCCATGAAACTCTAAGCAGTTTCATGGTACTGCGGTAACAATTTAATTCTATTTTCTCGAAAAGCAAGTACTTGAAGGGTTCTTTCACTTATCCGTTTACCTAAATAAACTTATGCTCAGTAATTAGATATGCTGCAATATGATTTGGGTTTCATAACAAATTCTTTAGAAATAAACAACAATTTGAACAAGGCCATAACAATATTAATTTTGTAAGTGTATAATTTAATTAATTAGATATATTTTAACCAAAGAAGACCGAGAAGTGGATAATTATTTAACTCTTAGATGACAAAGGTCAGGCAGAGTGCATGATGAACTCATTATCTGTATTTTTGTAGGTATCACAAGAATAATTGAAATAATCTTTTTTTCTAATACTACCAATCACAAATTTCATCTGGAAGCCACGACGGGTCACACTAATCTATCATAGAACTACACGTAACGGTATTTACACAGGTAAGAAAAGCGACCCTTTCACGCATGCTAACATATGGCTGTGCAAATATAATCGTATTGATTATTCCAATTATTGATCTCGCTCTCACATTTGAAACCTTTCTACACGACCTTGGGTTGACCAAAATACACTCGGATCAAAAGTACACACGTAGTGTGGTTCAGATTGATTTTTTGATGGCACGAAATTAGCTAAAACCATTTTGCAAGAATCACTGTCAACATTTTTGATGAATATCTTCATTTATATCATAAAATCTGATGCTCACCTTGCACAACAAGGGAGTTATCAGGTCACTGCATCCAAATATCTCCATAATTGATGCCACATATAATCACACACGATAACATTTTCGTCAAATTGCACAAACAAAAAAAACCAAAGCGACGAGAGGAAGCGCATCGTCCAAGCTTCAAATTTATACTGACAGCCATGCTGCTGATGAGTCCGACTTTATTGTAGAGTTGCGCGCTGATTGGCTGAAAAGAAGATCATAAAAAATAATAATTGCTTCTATGGACCAATCAGAAGCCTGGAATTCAAAAATTCTTGATTGTTTGCCAAAAATCGTCATTGAAATGCAATATCGTCCACGTTTTGATATCAAAACATGACCAATTTGATTCTAATCTAGCCTAATTAGCAAAAATGATACCAAAAAAATAATTATCATGTGAGTTAAATTGTTTACGGAAAAGACAGTTCAGAAAAAAAAAAATACTCAGAAAAATTAACATTAAACTGGAACGAAACGCAAAACTGACACATGAAACGTCAGTTTCAGCTGTTCGATTTCGTGCCGTGCGTGTGTGCGAGTTTTGTTTGAGGTTATTTTGTTAGTGTTTTTGAATAAAAACAATACTGATTACCAATAACTATGGGTAAAAGGAAAAACAAGAACCAAGATCGGAAGAAGAAGATCAGTCTGGTGTTCGACGAAAATAAAAGAAAGTAATGATGAATAAAATGTGCTAATAAATAAATTTTGTGATTTGAAAATTTTCTTTCAACTAATGTCGAACTTAATTTTCAGAGAATTTCTGTGTGGATTTCGGAAGAGAAAACTCGAGCGTAAGAAGAAAGCCCAGGAGGAACTACAGCGAATGCTGAAAGAAGAGAAAAGAAGAATAAAACAAGAAGTAGGTTATAATTTGCATAGCATTTATCATCGGATCTTTATATCCGCAAAATATGCTGTATTTTGAAATAACAACTATACAAATCTTCAAAATACATTTATCTTATTTAATTTCAGAACAAAGAATCATATAAGAAGTTGATTGTATCAAGCAGACCCATCCCTGACATCGAACAGTTACTTCAAGAGGAATATGAGGATGACGATGTAAATGTTAAGATAGTTGAGCTGTCTGCAGACACCCTGCAAAAAAGAGATCTAGTTATAGGCCAGAACACACCTAAGGAAACTAACATAAAGAAAGATACCCCCAAAAAAAAAGAAAAAGTGGCTGAAAATATTCCAGGGATGGGTTCTGATGAAGAAAGTGCTGAGGAAGAGTCAGAAACAGAAGAAAATGAGGATGAAAACACAAAGACTAAGAAAGAAATAAAAAAAATGCTGAAAAAACAAGCCACAAAGAAAATACAGAAAAGCAAAGTATTCCAAATGAAAAGCAAACTTGATAGGGTAAAGAATAAGAAGAAATCTCAACAGAAGAAAGGACTAAAAGCTAAGGTTGCACCACGTAAAGATAAATCTAAGAAAAAGATTGGAAGACGAAAACATTAAACAATACACATTTGAATGTTTATATTCTTTTATTTCTTATAATAACATGCATTAGCAATTATGAAAAATAAAATTAGATCACATGATTATAACTAATGAGGTAGGTACTCAAATTTTATCTTAACAAATTAACATTCAATCTGTTTAACAGATTCAAAAAACAATAACAGGTAAGAAACGCAAAATTGAAACATTCCTTACAAAATCATCACATTTCTTTCACTTTTTAACAACCCTTGTTCTTTTCTTTTGTACAACTGACTCAAGAGAGCTTTTTTCAACATCTAGATTTTCAGTCACCTTGTTACGTGGTGATTTTCTTTTCATAGGAGACCTTTTATTATCTGATTCAATTTTACCTTTGATTTTCGGACTCTTCAAAACTTTATCAGGTAGTTTAAAATTGTCAAATTCATTATTACTTTCATTCTCGGGTACATTTTTATCATTTACTTTTTTGCTTTTGTTTGTTTTCTTATTTATTAAATTGGTTTGATCACTAGTTTCATTGTGTTGCTCTTTTTTAGGGGTAACTTTCTTTTTCTTTGGCTGAGCTGGCTCAATCTTAAAAATAGGAATGTCTTTTTTCTCTTCAAAAACTTCATCTTCTGAAACTTCTGCTTTGATTTCTTGTTTCATTGGTGATTTCTTAGGAGTCCTCCCTTTACCACTTGAAGGGCATATATCTTTATTCAAACATTCATTGCATATGGGACTAATGGGTAAACAAATTGTCTGACCAAATCCCACCATGAGATGATTGACTTCACTCCACAATTCAAAAGGGAGCCATGACTGTAATGCTTTCCTAGTATCTTCAGGAGTTGCTGTAGTTTTCTTTACCCATCCAATTCTGTTGCTTATTCTATGCACATGGGTGTCAACACCTAGAAAATTTAAAAAGGTTAATATCAATATTAAATTAATGTGAAACAATATAATGTTATTTAAGGATTTAAGTTACCAATTCCAGTGACTTTATTCCATGCAACTTTCATACAAATATGTGCCATCTTTGGCCCCACTCCAGTCAGTTTGCACAGCTTTTCAACTGAGTCTGGAATGTCACTGTTGTACTGTTCTTTCAGGGTCTGTGTTGTCTTTTTTATGTACTTCACTTTTGTCTGGAAAACACGTTTTAAGACTTATATCAATTACCATAAACATGTTCTTTACCTAGGAGTTCCTAGGAACTCAAGTGTTGTTTATGCTAGTATTTATGAAACACCATCAGTCAAAAGACAATAGTAAGTAAATTACTCAAATTATCACATTTAAATTACCTTCCAAAATCCAACTGGATATATCAACTTCCCCAATTCTTCATCAGTCATATTCAAGACATTGTCTACAGTAAGTCCACGGGCTCGCAAACGTTCCATTGCTGCAAATGTGACCTGGTCTTTTGTCTGACTGGACAGCATAAGGGCTATTAGGCTTTGATACCTCATTACCTAAAAGTTAGTAATGAACATTTAAAATTTTCTTTTAGACAATGTATCAATGACCCATGTTCAGCAGTAGATGTCCTGTGGCTGAAATGATGATCATGATCAAGCAAGGTGGACAGCAACTTCCAGTAGCACAAACTTTCTACTACCCTCTTCGAAATAGCAATTTCAGAAGCAAAACAAACTCAGTCCACAAATATGATATACCTCAGGAGGTGCATTTTCATCCATCGCCATATGACAGCCCATGGAGTCCACAGGCGCATCATTGTTTGATCTCATATTCCGTAAATTTAGCAAAAACTCCCTCCAATTTGGAGGCTCCCAGAGACCACCTCCTTCCTGCAAGTTTAAACAAATGAATTATTTAGATGCCTGCTTTTATAGCTCTATTTACATATTTATTTATTGACAGTATTGTAACATTGTACCAAAGAGTGATTATTTGTTACTTTACCTGTTTTGTAGGGGAATCCACCTCAAACTCAATTTTAACATGTGGCTTCTTTTGAAACTTAAACTTATTCAAATCTGGTACAGTTCCACTTGTAGTAGGTTCAGTTTCATCAGATGGCTCAGACTTTAAAACCAATTCTGTAACTTTATCATTGTTATCCTTCTGGTCAGTTACGGGTTTTATTACATCTTTAGACAATGTCTTAGCTGCCTTAGGCTTCCCTCGCGGCATTTTTAACAGCAATCTTCCAATAAATATAATGTTAATAACTTAAAATTCACAAAAATCAAAAATATACCGCATCAAGAAAAAGCGAAATCACTGCCAACTTATAATACTAATTTGTTTGATTTTTCACGAGTATGATTGTTTATATTATAAACTCTGTTTCAGGTTTCAGTCAGAAATGAATTGATTATAAATTCTTTTCTTCAGTGTTTGTTTACATTTTTCAATTTCGCTGAAAATCGGACGAGGGAGTGAATGGTGAACGAATGATTAATAGAATAGACAAAATAGAACGGACGTCATTCGGCTGACCTCGCTATTCGATTATGTTTCTGAAAATTAACTGTAATTAAAAACATAATCGAATCAATAATCTTGAACATAGTGATACTTGAAAGAAGTTAAAGTATTGTGTGCCATGAACATAAGACACAAACACAACTGCCATATTCCCAGAGCCCCGATTACGGTAATTTTTAACGTCTCCAATCCAACGTTGGTCGTTCAACAGCGTACGTCAGCTGTTTTGACCAATCGTATCGCAGAATCGGTGAAGCGCGTCTGGATTGATATAGATGACCCACGCTGAACTGTCCCACCACACTCAATGACAGGGGGGCGCTACCATCGTTCAACTATATGGTTTTCAACATGGCAAAAATCGGAACCAGCGATCCGGTATTGACGGTGGCGCCCCACTGTCAATGTCATGGATAGGACAGTTCAGAATTTTAGAACTATAACGTTAAAAGTTACCGTAATCGGGGCTCTGATCAACATACAGGGTATGGTGAGCTAATGAGCTACCCCCTTTTCACCCCCAATACTGACTACACTATGGGGGGTGACGTTATCTGTGATTAAAAAAGTAAAATGTCTAATTTTGACGTTTTGAATCCTTCAAAAAAAAAGCAAGCACGGCACGGCACACGATCAGGAAATCACTAATTCCTTTTTATAAATAAATTAAACTATGGCCGAATTGCTTTTAGATCCAAATATAAGGGGTTGGGTTTTTCTCCCCATTGTTATCATCACTTTCCTCGTTGGTATTGTGAGACATTATGTTTCGATTATTCTATCTTCCCAAAAGAAAATTGAACTTTTGCAAGTTCAAGACAGGTAAGTTGATTATTAGAATACTATTAATTGGCTTTTAACGGTATTATGAAAACTATACAGTCAGCTATTTACCTGTATTAAGCAAAGTACCCACTATGTTAACAAAAACATTCACTCACAGATCTTGTTCAGTAAAGAACATAATTGCCTTAGAAAAGCCATTTTATAATAATGCATTTTACTACTACTGTTTCCAGTCAAGTGATGATAAGAGCTCGCTTGCTACGTGAAAATGGCAAGTACTTGCCCCGACAGTCCTTTGCTATGAGGAGGCATTGGTTCAACAATGAGGAAACTGGTTACTTCAAAGTTCAAAAAAGAGCTGCCACCTCCCAGGTATACTATTATAACTTAGTTTCATATTAAACACTACCTAAAATACATAAACACTATTTGTATCTAGTAACTATTTCAATTATTTATAAGTTTGTAATTATTAAAGTTACCATTTACCTTAATGTGTCCCTGATTTTCCACAGAATCCCATGACAGATCCAGGCATGATGACTGATATGTTGAAAGGAAATGTCACCAATGTTTTGCCCATGATAGTTATTGGTGGCTGGATCAACTGGATGTTCAGTGGTTTCCTAACAAGTAAGTTTTGTTTTGAATAGTACCAAATAATAGGAAATTGGCATTCTTTCTTATCATGAGAAGAATTTTCATAGTTCTTTCTTATGTAGGAAACTTGTTCACAATCAGAGTTCTAACTTATTTATTAGATTTGCACTAAAAAGTTCATATTTATTGTCTTGTATTACTGGCACAATGTATCAGGTTGAACCTCGTATTATTTTTATCATTTTTCAAGAAAAATACTTTTTTTATTTTTCAGCTAAAGTGCCATTCCCACTGACACTGCGCTTCAAGCCTATGCTTCAGAGAGGAGTGGAGTTGGCATACCTGGATGCGTCATGGGTTTCCTCAGCCTCGTGGTACTTCCTCAATGTGTTTGGTCTTAGGACAATTTATGCACTAGTTCTAGGAGAGAACAATGGTAAGAAACATTATATTGTGCATATTATTTTATGATTCAGTGCAACACAATTATTCATAAACTGATTTGATCTAGTTTTTTACAAAAGAAATACATTTATTGTTCTAACTAATGGTTTTGTGAACCTTATCTATTGTATACCTTTCACAAGTCAAAGGAAAAACTGTTTACTTGTCTGTTACAGCTGCTGACCAGTCAAAAATAATGCAAGAACAGATGTCGGGTGCTGCTATGGCGATGCCTCCGGACCCAAAAGCGGCTTTCAAGGCAGAGTGGGAGGCCCTCGAGATCACAGAACACAAGTGGGCACTAGCCAATATTGAGAATGACCTTCTAGCTACTTTCGTTGAGAAGGAGAAGACTCATTGAACTCTTTAGTCTCGAAATATGTGACGGCTGTTGGTACGCGTATTTCCATTCCAACCTTTGTTGTCTACCACTTATTGCATTCAAGTCACCATCTAGTGGGATCCTCTAAAATGAACTAACAAAATAATAGATATCATAAGCCTATCTGAGATCTTGATAAATTATTGGAACTAGAGAAGATCTAAGTGATGAACTGAATGAATAGTAGCTACCAACAGCCTGACACCATACTGTAGTCAATGATTTTTATGTATCAAATGTTTAAGTATTTATGTATTGTGGTGATAAGTTAAGTAAATTAATTTACTGGTTAATTTTGTTGTTTTATTTACAGTGATGATACTTTATAATAAGGTTCGACTGTAAAAACCACCAAAGGTATTTTTTTTACATATTTATTTAATGCAAAAGTAGAGTATATACAATGACCTTAAATTCCTGTACAAACGTTAGTAACAAATAGAACTACATAAATGCTTATTGCCAAATTGATTACTATTATTAAAATGTATTAAAATCTTAATCTTATTGGGTCATTTATGCAAGTAATAATGTAGTAATTTCCTTATTTTTATAAAATATTACGAGGATAAGAGACTATTACAAAATTGTTTTCAAACTAGCGAGAACTTGCCTAATGGTCTAGTTATGCATTATTTATTGTTTGATCACACCTTACAAATTGCAAACCGTGCATGGAGTATAAAAAAATCTAACACACATGCAACTTCTCTCAAGTATATATGGTCTTGTGTAGTCAATCAAACTAATAAATACCTACCATAATTTACTCTCCAAAATTCTCTCAGTTCTCACACATATCAGTCACACTTGTGTGAAAAGTTTAAACGCGAAAACAAGCAAGTAACAGTATGTCATATATTGGCAGTATTGTTCTGTTGTAATCAAAATTAGGTACTCTGTTCACTAGTATACCAAGAATGAGCGATAATAAACAAAAATAACGTAAAATATTGAATTTACAATGCTTTATTCAGCCATATGAATTAAATACAAAGAAACTTGCCTATCTACATAACCAGTATTTAGATTTCAAAGGCTTGTACAAGGTTTGCTGATAATAATAAAAATTCAAATGAAACTTGCACAATTAGAATGATAAAGAAATAAATAACATATAGGATATCAAACAAAACTGCCTATTTCCTAAGCAATAATATAATTTCGGAACTGAATACCGCAGGTATACATAACATGGGATATCCCATCGGAAATAATGAAACGAATTGTTTGTTGTAAAAAATAAAGGCTCATCATATCATGACATATTTTTTACGCGAAAATTAATAAAATAATAGCTATCACGCGTTTTCACTGTTCCTTATTTTTAATCATATCCAGCAGAAGAATATTTAGTCTGATCCAATCTACAACTTAAGAACTGTTGAATCAATTTTCCTAGCTAGCTACTAGTAACATGGCAGACGGTGAAAAGGAAGACCTACGCCGTCTATCATCATTAATCTATTCCGTTCAATAGTTACATTCGATAGTACTTTGACCAACTTCTTGATGAAGCGATGTTGGCCGCGGCTACTTGTTGACAAGCTGTTTCTTTCGCGGCTATTTCTTAATGAACTGTATGTCAGACGCGGCTATTTTATATCGTGTTGTTTGTCAGGCGTGGCTATTTCTTGATGAACTGGCTATTTTTCGTAGTTTTTTGTCGATGGCGGCTATTTCTCAACGAGCTTTTAGGTAGCGGCTATTTCTTAACGAGCTTTTAGTCAATGGCGGCTATTGCTTAACGAGTTTTTAGCGACAGCGCACACTGGGTGACAGTTCCTGGGCCCAATGTGCGCTGTCGCTTAGTCGGCGGCTATTTCTTAACGAGCTTTTAGTCGGCGGCTATTGTTTAACGAGTTTTTAGCGACAGCGCACATTGGACGACAGTTCCTGAGCCCAGTGTGCGCTGTCGCTTAGTCGGCGGCTATTTCTTGGCGAGCTATCACCGCAACTACTTCTTGATGAGCTGGACGACGTCCTCGTCTGCGACCGAGTGGCCGAGCCCGACGCGCTGCGGCGAGTACTTGGTGCTGGTGCCCCAGACTAGAGCGTACTTGAGTTGAGCGGCCAGAGTGCGGTGGATGGAGTGGCACACGTGTTCTACCGTTACACCCTGTGAATAAAACGATGTTTTAAAAACATGAGTTTAGCTCTGAAAACAGGTTTTTTAGTGTTGTAATTTATTTAGTATGTAACTTATGAATGAAAAGTGACGTCAGTAACGCAAAACTCGTTACAGAGGTAGGAGTCACGTTTTGAACAACACTTTATCAAAAAAACTGTGCTAGTGCTGCACTCTGGTGACTATTTTTCCTATTGAATTCGCAAACTTATGACGTAATAGGAAGGCAATTAGAGCCTAGTAAAATGTCTTTTTCAATACTGGAAAAAGTAAAAAATTTATGATGTGTTACGGTAGCTTTAACTTACTCCTTCAAGACTAGAAAAAAAAAGCATTTTTACCTTAACACAAGGCGACGAAGTTAAAAATGCAGTGGCTAAAGTCTGGTCGCCGAGCACGTAGAATTTTGTCCAATGACCCCAAGCTACCCAGCCTTATCGCTCGCGCGTAATTATGTTGCTGTCGCGCTCGCACACTCACTGCGGGCGCCCGTCGCACAGTCGCGACAGCAACATAATTACGCGCGAGCGATAAGGATGTGTAACTTGGGGTCATTGGACAAAATTCTACGTGCTTGGAGACCGGGCTTTAGTATAAATGTACTTACCCTCCTGAGGATGAGTCCGTCGTCGAAGTCGGGCGGCTGGCCAGGCTTCTTGGTGTACACGCGGATCAGCGACAGGTATTCCCACAGCGTCTCCAGCAGGAAGTCCAGGTTCAGCTTCATGTTACAGCTGGAACAAACATTACATTGCATTAGTCAGCGTCAAATAGTCCATGACACCCAAAGTAGCCAATAAGTTAACACGTCTGTTACAATTTATTGGGCTAAGGTTGTGTTGGTAACTTCGTGGTAAATAGTCCCCCCCTGGTTGGCTTGAAAATCTGGAAAAATTCATAATAATACCGCTTTTTATGAACTTTCAAGGTAAACTATAGCGGTTAAGATAGATCACTTAGTTTAAGAGTAATAGTCATTTGACTCATGTATTATAAAATTTCTTATAAACCAGTAAAAATTCCTTAGAAGAAAATATGAAAAGTGACTTTAGATGAAGTAATTGCTTGCTTCTGAAATATATTGTGGTAACGACGGACAACTACGGAACCCTATACTGCGCGTGGCACGACACGCACTTGGCCAATTTTTATCTTTGGTACTTTGGGCTACCGTATTTGAAAGCTCGTCAGTTGGCGCCAACTGATGAGCGTAAATACGATTATTGGTAATGGGTATCATTGCATCTGTTGTACCCACTTGTAAATTGCACAGCTTATTAGAGTACCGCCACTGTGTTCCATTCACTCGCCAGTGGCGCCAACTAGTGAGCGAAAATACATCAAATTTGTGATAGCACAACATCCTACTAATATTATAAATGCGAATGTTTGTATGGATGACATGGATGTCTGGATTAGCATGTTTGTTACTCTTTCACACAAAAAGTACTGAACGGATTTAGATATAAAACTTTATAGTATTTATATTGTTTATAACCCAGAATAACATATTACAGGCTATGAGATATGACAATCTGTGACAAACTAAATTTCACGCGGGTGAAGCTGCGGGCAGAAGCTAGTTATTCATATTTTTATTCCAAAGAAAGCACCTTTTTTACAAGACATATTCTCTGCCAGTGTTGTCGTAGAACTTGGTATACATAAATACAGTATGTGCAAGAATTAACTTACCTAACCACAACAGAGTGCGGCTCGCGCGCTATCCTGTCCACCTCCTGGATGGAGATCTGATCGATCTTGTTGTAGACGTAGAGGCACGGCAGGTACACACGATTGGCCAGGATCACGTCGATGAGGTCGTCCGGCGTGCAGTCTTCGCGGAATAGCACCTGTGTAAGAACGTTGGATTATTTTTATTACACCATTTGTTGTTATGGGAAAATGTCTTCCAGTAACACAAATACCATTAGTTTAATCGTTTTCTCATACTTAAAAAGATATTTTGGAAGCCTAATTAGATCTAATTTTCAATCTGTGCCACTGCGAAGAAATAGAGAGGTCGCTCACTAGGCAGACTTGTCTTGTTGCCGCAACCAAAATTGTTGAGCACAACCAGCCAGTCATGCAAAACACGTCTGGCTGCTAAGACAAGTGCGCGGTTTACTACTAGTGGCAACCTCATTATATTCGGCCTGTCGCGCTGCCTCACTCTGGCTGTGGAAGTCAGTGGCTGCGTGCGTTTTAACGCGCATTCTTGGCTGCATAGTGGTCATATAGCGGATTAGCCAGCCTGCCTAGTGCGTGGGAGGCCATATGGCAGTGGCACACACAAAAAATTGCATAAAGGAAGTTTACCTCAGCATTGAATATTTTATATTCGTGTAAAATCATCTGCACCATTTTTTCGTCCACTTTTGTGAGTTGACATGTCGAGTTGAAGGAGAGACCACCGCCTTTTTTGACCTATAAACAGATAAAACATGAATAATTGTAGTGTATTTTAAAGATACAGATGAGTTTTTATTTAAGCGGAGTTGGTGGAGCCGGTTTTACATACTTACATCAGATGATTAATGATGCACATAATTAGGATAGTAATAGAATAGATTAAAGATCGTTCCATCCACGAAGACGCGCCCCATCTTTTTCGGTTATCGGTACACGCTAAATTATCCATAAGTGCACACGCACACTACAACAATGACGCTCGGATTGGTCGGATCTAACTCCCCGCACCCCGCGCTTGCCTCGACCAAAATTGGGGAGGCGCGTCTTCGTGGATAGAACGATCTAATCTAATGTTAGTGACCATGAAAGTTAAGTTAAAGATAATATACAGCTGATGTTTTGACGTGAACGTTTTAATGTATAAAAACATTGTACCGTTACCAGGCCTGTTCATCTCCGCGAGTTTACATCGAAAACAAAACACGCACGATGGCCCACCTACAGGATACTATTCGACAAGGCCTCACATACGAGCGAACATTGACTCACGCACGCGTATTCTTGTGTAGGATGGAAGAAAATAAAGAAAATGGTGTATTAAATACTGTGCAGTATTTAACTGCCTAAATAATAATAAAAACACAGAATGTACTTTTTTAAGTTTGCCTCAAGACACTGAGAGGTAAATAAGTAGTTAATATTATTCATGATAATTCATGCTAAATCATGTATTTCCTCCGCCATTTTCCGCAATTTGGCACCTCACGTCACATCATTTTACCGAAGTCAGCCCTATAGCTTCGGCGCAGTGCCGAACACTGACGTTTGTCATCAAAATGGTGCTTGACTCTTGAGACAGGCTAAATTACACCATATTGTTAATCACATTGAGCATTCCTTTTTTTTAAATACCTTCGCGAAGTAACACTTCTGTACGTAGTACTTATTATTATTCTGTGCCGTTACATTTAATTATGACAATATGCTTTTAAAAATGGACCTTATGTACCTTAAAATAAATGTTAGGTTTGGGCTTATTCAGCCTGATGCCGACGCTCTCCAACTCCTTCTCCAGCAGCTGGCGGTGCACGTAGGGCTTCGTGGCGTCCAGCATCATCAGCACCAGGTCGGCCGTCCGCGCCACCGCTATTACCTGGACACAGACGTGATCGTCTTTTTTTTTATTTGTGTTGAGCGGCTATTCTACACTGGTCATCACAAAAATCGGCCCACCTACGTTTTACAGGAAAACTCGTTTCTACTGACACAATCACATGGTGCCCCAACAATATTGGTGTTATTTGAAAGCCCAATAAATATCCTTAAAGAGAAACACACTTAATTTCGTAATAAACGATTAACATATACAATAAAAGTGAAATGAAAAACTTGAAAAAAGACCTCACTTTGGGCTCACCTCTGGGATCAATTAGACCAATTTTTATGGTTATAAAACCAAATAATGATCTCACGTGTCCTCTTTAACAGATGGATAGCGATTAATCCCAACTTAACAGTTTTATAGCCATAAAAGTTGGCTTAAGCGTAACTACCTATTTTTTGAAGAAGGGACTCTGGATTCTTCTACAGACACATTTTTGGGGTAAAAACCTTTAATTAAATGAAGTTTAGAACTAGGCTTTTAAATGGTAATATAGTATAGTAATATTGGTGGGAAGTGGGGATGCATAAGTTTGAAAGTGCTTGTCGCGGGTGGGTCGATTTTTATGATGACCAGAGCCCCGATTACGGTAACTTTTAACGTTTCCAATCCAGACACGCTTTTCGATTCTGCGATACGATTGGTCGTTCAACAGCGTACGTCAACTGTTTTGACCAATCGTATCGCAGAATCGATGAAGCGCGTCTGGATTGTAGACGTTAAAAGTTACCGTAATCGGGGCTCTGTGTATGTAACAGCGGATGTCTGCCTTCAGATTATAAAAACGACGCTGCCGCGCTGCAGTCGCGCTACTAACGCCCTAATGTGAAAGCGCTCTTAAAGAAAGCACGCCATGATAGCCGAACAGACAAAGGGTCGGATTGGCCGACTTGTGAATTAAGAAACCCGGGTTCGAATCCCGCCGCCGCCGTCGAGCGGTAAAAAAAGTTGATGTTGTGGTGAACTCACTCGAAACTCAACAATAGTTTACACGAAGGATTAACGAGCTTTTAAAATGCAATTTTATATGTGCCAGCATTACCTTACCACTGATTCAGGACAATAAATGGGCCAGTGTTGAGAATAAACAGCACAAATATTACAAAAAACATCACCATTGTCAGGAAAAATTAGTAGTGACACCTGACCTTAATTTTGTACTATCTCATGAGCTTGCATACTACAAACTTGCCACCATTCTACTTGCCTGTCTGTCGCATGGCGAAACAAGATCTTTAACTTACGACGACGGTACTATGACGTAATACTTTGGTCGTAAAATATGTTTTGTTGACAGAATAAATAAAATTAAATGATTTTAACACAATCATCAGAAGTATACTGGTTATGAACTTTATTTACAATAAACATATTTTTTTTAAAACTAAGGCAAACTTAACTCTAAACAAATTTTGTTATGTTTAAACATAAAAAAATTGTTTATTGTAACTATACTTAAACTGTTATATTTAACATTACCTGTCTTCCTCTACCCTTGCCCTGGGCAGCCCCTTCAATGATACCAGGCAAGTCGAGCAGTTGGATATTGGCTCCTCTGTACTCTATGACTCCCGGAATACACGTTAGCGTTGTGAACTCGTAACTGGCAGCCTCTGAGTGTGTGTGCGTTAGCGTCGACAGGAGTGTTGACTGAGGAAGAAACAAATTTCATTTTACAAAAACCTTCGGAACAAACTTTTTCTATCTAAATGAATTCTTATTTCATTATTATCTTTCCATTATCTAATTTCATTAATAAAAAAAATTAATCCTTATTTCCTTTGGTCATTGCATCACACGTGAAACGCTGGACTGATTTCTTTAATTCTTTTTTTGTTGTGTATTATTGTCAAGAAGGTTATAAGAAAGAAAATTAAGGACAATGTCTGTCAGGTAGATACATCTAAATCAAACTTTTGTAAAAATGTCTCAATGTGATCATACCAAGAATAACCTAAATGATAAATGTAAAAAAAACATAAAGTACCAAGAAAGATTAAAATGAAATAATTTGTTAAAAAGATTCAACTACAGTAGAATCCCGATTATCCGGATCAATTAAAACCAGGGGTGTTCCGGATAATCGAAAATCCGGATAATCGAATTTAAAGTAAAGTCAAACAATAATTGACTTTTTACAATAGAACGGGTTTTCAATACATCATTTAGAATCTAAAAATCTAAATTTTAGACCATTGGATGAATCTATTTCTTTTAACAATGAACTAAACGACGTCCGTACTGTGTTACGGTGACGGCGCCTTCCGTTTTTATGGGTCCAGACCTCAAATCGGTAATTAGAACTCGTGAAGAATGAGTCCGGATAATCGGATATCCGGATAATCGAGATTCTACTGTATAACTACTTTTTAAAGTTTATAAAAAAAATTAAGGAGAATACTCACCTTTCCCACTGAAGGGAAACCAATTAGAGCAACCCTAGCATCTCCAGACTTCAGTACATCAAACCCTTCTCCCTTATCGCCACCCTTCTTAGATGGTTCCAGCAACTGTGAGCGGTACTTTGCTAGCTTAGCCTTTAACAGACCCAAGTGGTACTCAGTAGCTGGAAAGAAACATTATGGTTCAAAGTCAAACATACTTAACAACAAATTAAATACATCTTGATAATTTTTGGTAGAAGTTAGTTCTTGTAGACATATCTTACTTTCAGGTGTTACAAGTTTTATAAATATCAAGTCGAAACAAAAGTGCACCTATTGATAACAATAATAATTACATAGTGGTCGTACTTACCTTTATTCTTTTGAGTTCTTGCGATTTCTTTCTCAATCTCAGATATTTTCTCCAAAATACCCATGTTTCTAGGCTGACGCCGAAATTAGTTCAACAATGTAGGATAACAATATTTAAACCTAACGAGACTAAAAATTATTGACTAAATGATATCCTAATGACAAAATATCACCATTTCGCTTTAAATTCAATAATATTATTTAGTTTATAATGAACGAGAATAAGTTTTTCAGTGGTTTTTCAGGTTATTCGTATTTTGTCAACGACGTGACAGATGTTGGTCGACCACAGATATGGATTAGAGTAGATACAGCAAGTTGCTAGTTAAAGCGTGCCATTCCGATATGTCCAAATGGACATACATGGTCGAGTGATGTTCATGTAATCCGATTACAACAATCGGATACGATGATTTTACGAGGACAGTAGTACGAACACGGTAAAGAGAAGAAATTATTTACGGATTGAGAATTGTAATTAACAGCAACGAGTAACAAATATGTAATTAATTAGAATATAAAGTAGCAGTAGAAGAATTATAAAACAAGTTAGAACAGTGATCGCGGAAGACAGAGTGCACTGTATAACGTCGATATATACAAATCAAGAAGTTAGGTCAGTGATCGCAGTATACACTATTACTAGTCTATGTATACGACGCCCGAGATTTTGTCGTTTAGAAATATCTTCAAAACTAGGTACCTGACTTAGTTTTATACGTATTGGCAAAACTGCGCATTTTTACATTTATTAAAAATAAAAAGCTTGAGTAAAATAGTCTTTATTTTATGAAACTAGGTCATTTACTTACTAGGATATTTAAAAGTATGGAATTAAGTATGAATTACTAGTAGTAACTATTTAACATAATGGAATAACGATCATTACTTTCATAAAATAATATTAGGCACAACAAAAATATTATTTGCAAATTAATAATGTAGAATTGTAGAATAACGTCTACCGCTACAAAATTAATTTAATCTACAGTCAGACTAGCTATAAATTTAACAAAATATCAGTTTTATCGGAATTGATTAATTTTTGAATCGAGTCACACGATAACATTCGATGACTTTGCGAATGCAGTACGATGATACGATTACTTTTACGTTGCGGCAATCACTAAAATTCGCTAAAATGACACTAATGACGTTTAAAAAGTGGCACGCTCGGCTTCATACAATTTTTGACACATGCTGCATCTATCCATATCTGTGTGGTCGACGAACGAACTGACAGTTTACTTTTATGGGCTATCGCCGACAGACCATAGTAAGTAAGTAAACAGTTTATTGATTGATTCATGGATATTAATTTAAAAATTACAATAAATAAGTATTTACAAATCCCGTACCGTGCTTGTCCATTTAATACCCTCCAACCATCTAGATTATATTGATTTATCTCAAAACTTACCTATAAGTTATCCTGGGAAGAGTTATTTCGAAGAAAATATTAAATATAACATGCAGGACTTTCCTACCATCATTTTAACGGGATTTTTATTACAGCGATACGGTGTGTAAGTAATATTTTAATATGTTTTTATTATTTAGGTAATCACAGATCCGCCAATAAAACCTTTTTAACCCATAGAGGTAACCACACTTTTGAATGTTTGTGGAATTTATTTTAATCAATCGATAAATTATTGGATCTACTAGGTCTACAACAAATATGTAGGTACTTATTAAAATAATGTAGGTACATATATTTCACTGTTCGCTTCTTGAAAAAATAAAGCATGGTTTTCAGTAATAACATTTTTTTCCCTTACTTAGTGAGGCTATACTTGCAAGAACGGAGACTAGAGAAATAAAAAAAGTAACTATGTCTCTTGACGACCTAGCACTTGAATATGAAGATGATAAAAATTCTATGATTGGAAAAGCTGAGAATGGTAAGATACCTAATAAGGGTTTGTTCATTGTACTTAGAAGTAGAGATGGGCCGACTAGTCGCCGACTAGTCGGGAAAGCCGACTATTCGGCATCATTTGTAGTCGGCCGACTAGTGACGACTATTCGGCAAAATATGCCGATTATAATCGGCGCATTACAAAATTAAATATGTGAATGAAATAAACTCATAATCACCAAGATGATTATGATGTAGACCAAGGGCGTTTATCTAAACCACTTTTGACTGCAAAAAATCAGTAAAAAGTGGTTTCACCTGATTTATAATTTTGGCAATCAGTCTAAATTCATACAAAGTTAACATTAGTTAAAATTACCAGGAAATCATCAAAAATGTGTAAAGTTTATGTAATTTCATTTGTCCAAAATTTTTTTTTTCACTTTTTTCGGGGAAAAAATCCATGGAATTGCATACCTATCCTGCGGGGAAGTGGTACATTATGTGGGGCTCCTCTCATCGGAAGGATGAGGAATACCCACATAAATAACCCCTGAGATCGCGATCGCCTTAGTGTGAAGAACTATGGAAATCCGGACAAAGCCATCAACTATCACAGTCAGTCCCGGCAATTGCCGGGATACATACAATTGCCGCCATACAGGTGGGCAATTGCCCACCTGTATGGCAGGCCCTGCCTATCCGACGGTGGTGGTAAGTCCGTGCTATGCAGGCGGCCCCCCACGCCCCCAGCTTGCTGACCATCACCGTGGAGGGTGGAGAGGAATCAGTGAGGCTAGGATGCGTGCCGCAATAAGCGCAATTTTGACCATACATTTTGTCGTCGATAAGTAAGAATAATATCACGGCGCGCATCCTAGCCCAGCAGGAGGCGATCATATTGTCACCTCTTCTGACCCCTCCGCCGCCGAAAATTATGAAATCTACCTTAGGTACAGTTACTGTTAGGTGATTGTAATGTTGCTTTTTATTTTATCTTATTATTAAAGAAATCTCATTTCTCAAAAAGTTATATTTATCTCTTTAGAAATCTAGATATCCATATTTCTTTGAGAAAATCTAGATAATTTATTCTTCGGACAAGTAGATATTAGAATGATCGGCATTGCCGATTAGTCGGCCGACTAATCGGCAGTTGTTGTTAATAGACTTTATTGTCTATCTTATTAATAATGTTAGGTATTAATTTAATAGCTTATTACAAATAAAAGCAAAGAATGTCTAAGATTAAAGAAAATGACCACCAATTTTCAGAAAATACCAACATATACGAAGATTTTTATGACGAACTAGATAATAGAATCAGAATAGACAAGTCGATGAACATTATTTTCTTTGGGCCATCCGATTCGTTCTTGAGGCTTGATCCTGAGACTATTTTGCATATGTTGGTACATACAAAAAAAGATTTAATTCCGATAACAAGAGTATTGTTGTCATGGGATGTAATCACAGGTGAATAATACATTTTCTTTCTCTTTATATTTTTGTTATAAAAATATGTTAATCTGGGGGCACGGCAGTGCCCCCGCCAAGTCGAGCGCGAAGCAAACACTGCCGTACCATCCTTTACTGGAACCATTTCGCCGCATTTTCAGGCCTCTATTTGAGAACCTTTAGATAAGACCAGAACGCAGAAATTTTCGTCATCTAGTAAGCTATAATCACACACTTAAAATCCAAAATTTCAAGTCTGAGGTCAATTAGTTCCGAAGTTAAGCGACAGCAAAGTTTCGCATTTATGACACTCACTCACTGATGANGTACCCTTCAACGGCCAATTAATTATTTTCTTTGGGCCATCCGATTCGTTCTTGAGGCTTGATCCTGAGACTATTTTGCATATGTTGGTACATACAAAAAAAGATTTAATTCCGATAACAAGAGTATTGTTGTCATGGGATGTAATCACAGGTGAATAATACATTTTCTTTCTCTTTATATTTTTGTTATAAAAATATGTTAATTGTAATTACATTTTATAATGGAACAAACAACAAGAAAGTCAACGTATGTTTTTTTATGAACATTAGATGGGCAAACTGCAGCTTTCTTACAAGGGAGAGAATTGTTAGCATTTGGAACACTTTTAAATGTAGTCCCTGAAGAGGATTTGTATTATTTGAACTTCGGAGAACCTTCAGTCCTAAGATATTTCTCAAATAATGCTATACACTTACATAGACGCAAGGTAAACTTAAATAAGCTTTGGATATTTTGATACCTATATTAATTAATGAAAAAATTTGAGTGTAATTATTATTGGCAGTATGGAGTTTTAGTAGCAGCCTACAGACGCTATTTTGGTAATGAATGGTACACCAATAGCTCCCAAATAAATGAGCTTGGATATCTCATCTGCGGATTTCCATCAATTGATTTGATGAAAATAACACCACAAACTTTTAGAGAAATAAATGTGGATATAATGAGCAAATTAACCAATTGCAATATCAATCAAACAAAGGTACAGGTATCATGCCTTTTGCAAAATACCGCATCCTAATATTATTAACGCAAATTATAAGTACCTAATACATTTTCCTTTCAGACACTATACGACATAGCGACTCACCCAGATGCCTATGGAGAACCATACAAGTGGTCATCGCATGAAATAGGAAGAATGAATGCATTATTTGCCTGTGAGTAAAAGATATGGCAAAATAGTATAGGGTGTTTTTTTAGAGGTATAGAACTTTAAATCGAAATAAAATATGTAAAAATATGTTTGATTCACATGGTATTCATTTTGTTTAAAAGATGTTCTTATGCCATTTATGCTTCAAAATGATTTCGGGCCAAAGGGCGCCACGGTTGGCTCAAATGTAGCATAATCTAGATGTCCAATTTTCAATTTCTTTTTCGAGCAACTGGGGCCATACATCGGCAATAACGCGACGAATGTTGGCATTGAATTCCGTAGTTTATCTGCGCATTAGTGAACTTCACATATCCCCAGAGAAAATAATCCATATGTGTGAGATCACCCGATTGTGGAGGCAAATTCAAAGATCCATCGAGTGAAATTATGCGCTCATCGAATGTTTCCCGCAATAAATTGAATGTGTCGCGTGCTGGTTGGATGGTAACACACTAACACCATCTTGTTGAAACCATAACTCTGCCACATTAATATCATTCATCTGAGGAATGAAAAGTTACGAAAATTACGTCGACCGTAATATGGACGTTTGTATGGAAAACTGAACCATGATTTTTAAAATACATTTTTGCACAATTTGCAAATGTTGTTCTGAAGTATATCTATTTAATTATGAAATGGCAAAACATACTGTCCACAAATGTACCACCAGCTATCAAATTAAATATCACTAGAAACATTGTAACCAATTTAAAGTTGTAGTATACCTCTAAAAAACACCCGTTATAACTATTGGTTCACATTTTTAGACTTATGGTCGGACTTGTATAAAGTTTGCGTTATTTGACACTTGCATTGCACGTCACGTATAAAATTATTGTTTGAAGACATCAAATATTTTCACCAATAAAGATAATTTACAATATGGAAAATTTTAGCCAGTAAGACCAGCAAGAAAATGTACCTACACTGTTTCTTGTCTAGGTATGCGTAAGTCAACTATCCACACAGGCAGAGTGAATACTAATTAAGTTTAACAAAACATTGTGAGTCACATTTGACTTATGGGATAGATAAAGATTAATGATAAAATTAAAATTTACATTCTAGGTATTCCAGAAGAAGATATCAGTTCTATACAGCTTGAAGCCGTATCCGCAATAAGCTCACAAGTGATGAAACTTATAAATCAAAAGAAATTAGAATATTTTACCAAACAACAAATATTGAGAATGAGTCCAAGTACGCGTCGAATATATGTTTTAAGAATGCAATTAAGAAATAGCCTTGATATGAGTCAAATTACAAGGCGACATGGTTTCAAAGAAAGTCCAAATGGTCTCATTTTGGGAACAAGTCTCGTTGTCACCCTAGTCACCTTTTCAAACCACTAAGTGACTAAGTCACGACTAAGTGGAATTGATTAAAATCTATATAAAATGTTTGAGTGTTTTTATGTAACAATCCAATACTTCTATTTATCGTCCCGTTTCTGAAATAAAATGTTGGAATTGTTAAACTTATAATTATGTTTTTAATTTAGGTACGCTCGCTGTAGCTAGCGGAAGTAAAAAAGGCGCGAAATATTCTAATAATTGGATTGGTTATGGTTAAGATGATTTTATTTATTTATATTACCCAGTATCGATTGTTATCTATAATATTTGTAAGCTAATTATGACTAAAAATATTTTTGGATTATGCATGTTCTTATAGGTAATAAATAAAAAGGATATAAATTGACTTCCGACCGTAGCTTCCGACACAAAAAAAGAATCGGGAAACAAAAGCTGTTTACATTCTTTTTTTGATCATACATCCTTTTCCGGTAAAAATGTTTTAGTTTTTTTATTGTAAATTAATACTTTAATAAGTATTTGAATATAACGGTAAATATATAACGATATTTAACTTATTTAAAAACCATTTGTTCTATTAAAAATTTATCAAAATAAAATAAAATAATAAAAATGACTTTTTAGTGGTCTCAAGGTCACCGGTCGGTTGAATCCATTTTGTTTTTTGTTTACATGAGTCGCCATTTTCTTGACTCTCTTTTTGTTTGCGAGATTGGACTCTTCTTTTTTCGGAGTCTTCGCAGAGAGTGAACGCTCTGTTAAATATTTACAAACTAATATTATTCTAAGATATAAATTTTTATTGGCTAAAATGCCGCCAGTTAAGCATTATTCGTCTAGTGAAGTGAATCAGTATGAATTATCATCAAGATTATTATCGTTAACAGAAAACAATACATCTTACACGCTTACTCAAATAAATGGTCAAAGAATCTACAGGAAAGCGCCCCATGCATGGAGTGGACCAGAACCTTCAAGAAATTGTGAGGTAACCTCTTTTTGATATTTCGAACTAGCCGCCATTTGCACATCTTGCTGCTGACAGCAGTAGGAAAGAGTAGGAATTATTTTTTGTTACCTCTCCTGGATCGAAATTCATTAGAACTTGACTATTTTAATAGTTCTTGTCTGGCGTAGCGAATGCAGTATTTGCGCTCTATTCAAACTATTTGTTCCTAATGAATGGCCCCAGCCCAGCTAAAGTACACGTCAAGGCGTGTGGTCCACTGGCCGTGGCTAGTACGCATGGACGCGGCGACGCTGACGCTGATTCGATGTCTAGTAGGCATGATTAGGTTTGGTTTAACTTTTTTCTAGAAGGCCAGGGACTGGGTTTACAACGAACATGCAAAATCTGACTGATAGCCATTTCGAGGTGGCGATACATACGCGTCCTCCAATCGAAAGCAGCGAAGTAAAATACATTGCGCTTGCGCATCCATTATAGCAGAAAGCAAGCACAGACATTCAGGCTGGTGTATGTGCGTGCATTGTGCCGCTTTTATGCTGCTTTTGCTTTTCGCAGTGTAAAAGCAGCATTGGATTTTTATTGATGAATGCGCGCGAAACTGAAATGGTGGGTGTGGCTATGGTAAGAGGAGGTGACCTTGACCTCGTAACGTAAACTATAGAATACTTTTCGCATACCCTGATTGGCGCGTTGTAGTCGTAGATAGCAGGCGGCAGGCGTCTTGCGCCTGGTTTCCACCAAAGCGGAGCGGAGCAGAGAAGTTTTGAATAACCAATCAGATTTATTCCACACGGTTTGCTCCGCTTCTGTGGACATAGATCGTGCGGAGAAGAGAGGTGTCGCGACATCTACGCACAACTCTCACATCTTCTCTTGTCTCCGCTCTTCTCCGCTCCGCTTTGGTGGAAATAACCTGCCAGCTCTGCTGCACATCTCTCGTCTCCGCTCCGCTAAGGCCCGGTTTCCACCAAGGCGGATAGGAGTTATTTCCACATCTCTTCGCTCACATTCGGTGGAAATGGATTAAGCGGAGAGAAGAAGAATTGTGTCGAGTCGGCTTCGTTCTATGGAATTTGAGCCGCAAGCCAGTGGCGGCGCGGCGGAGCTAGGGTTGCCAGATAATCTGGCAGCGGAGCGGAGATGTGCCGGGCGGACTCGAGCAGGACGGCCATGAGGCGCCCGCGTTCACCCGCCTCATTCCTGTCTTTTTCTCGCGCCTCGCACATCTGAAAGCGTCATACGATTGTATGATTTGATGCACCTTGAAAACGCACGCAAAAGTTTCGCACTTGAGTTTTAAAAGTTACAAACTCGAAGCCGACTGCGCACAGCAGCAGCAGCAGGAGGCTACGTGTCGCCACGGTCACGACGCCGCCGCGGGGCATTGGTTTCTATGTATTTCTATGAATACCTTGAGACCTCCATCACTTCGGGAATTCAGCGCTAATTCTTTTGTTGGCAGGTATTCATTGGTAGAATTCCTCACGACTGCTTCGAGGATACCCTGGTGCCGCTGTTCCGCCAAGCTGGCGAGCTGTTCGAGTTTCGCCTCATGATCAACTTCTCTGGATGGAATAGAGGGTATGTCTCTATTTGTTATCCTGTTGCAAGTCATAATCTGTGGATGGAAACTAAGAAATATTTTCGGTTTAGGTATGCGTTTGCGATGTATACGACCGACGCTGAAGCTAGCAACGCTATACGGATGTTCAACAACTACATGATTAGACCATCTTGGCAGTTGGGTAAGTGTTCAACATATTTATCAATTAGATCTAGTAACTCATCATTACACACATGTAAACTTGCACTGTTTGCACTTTGTATCACGTTTCAAGCGTCATTTGTTAACTGCCTAGGTACTCAGTATGTTTATTTAATTCAACACTGTTATTTTATGTGTAACTTTATTATTGTATCCTGCATTACCTATGAGGAAATGCGCAACTTATTGAAATATCTTGGATCGCGTAATGTAAGAAGCAGTTTTCTTGCTTATTTGATTTAGACTACAAAGTAGGGATTCTTGTTGACGCTGCTTAACCTTTCAAGGAGTGTGCCCGTCCATCAACAACTGCCGCATATTCATATCTCGCATCCCGCCGACGACTCCCTCGGCTGAGATCGTCCGCCTGCTGTACGCTCTCACGGACGAGGTTCAAGAAGTGCGCATACGGCGCTCGATCGCGTCGTGTGCCGCCATCGTGGAGTACAAGTCGCACCGCGGCGCCGCCATGGCCCGCAAGGCGCTGGTGGCGGCGGCTGCGGCGGCTTGGGGCTGCGGAGCTCGACCTGCGGTGGACTGGTCCTTGCCGCAGTCCCCGCAGCTGCTGAAGCAATATCGCGAGGTGAGTCGCTTACTAAATCAATTTCTGGGAAAATGTGGGCTTTTATACACATTATGGATTACATTACACGATATTGATATATTTCGACAGATGTAAAAACAACACTTTCAGCATCATGCAAGAATGTCTGCAAAAACGAATGATAATGTGCTTTTTGAACAGGGGGAAGTTGAACCGAAATTTATCATTATAAGTTTATTTGTACAGCTTTCAGTTTGGTTTAGCCTAAAAGCAATGTTAACTTAAGTAACATGCATCCTGTCTTGAAGGTTTTATATTCATTTGAGCACTACTAACACTAGTAAACTCTTCAAATCTCGATTTGACTGGGCTTACTTTTGCACTGGCATGAATCGTCAACATCGCTCGTCATTTGTCTCTTGCCTTGCACTGCCCGTATCGTCGCAGGTGGGTCGCTGGACGCCGGAGCGTGGCGTGGAGTTGTCTCGCGCGCCGGAGGAGGCCAGCTCGCCGCCGCCTGCCGCGCCGTCCTACACTCTGGAGCCGTGGTCCCAGGCGCGCCGTCTGCGCATGATCCACGAGGCGCAGCGCAACGCAGCCGCCGCCGAGTGAGTGCTTGTAGCTTGTATAGAGGGATCCTAACACGACGCAGGAGGATGTATGTTGCTTGCTGCGAGCTCGCCGCCGCCTGCCGCGCCGTCCTACACTCTGGAGCCGTGGTCCCAGGCGCGCCGTCTGCGCATGATCCACAAGGCGCAGCGCAACGCCGCAGCCGCCGAGTGAGTACAGAGCAGATAATCTTGATACTTGAGGTGGATCATAGCACGATGCAGGGGATTATAATTATAAAAAAAAATTTTGTTTTAAACAAGGTTGGCGGACAAGACGACAGGTATTGTTTTTGGTTTACTGTATGTATGCCTAGCGTTTTTGTGATTTTGTGTTGTTTGTGAAATAGCCAGTTCCTGACTGCTTCTCTCCAAGTGATCAAGGTGCAACGCCAGCGGCATGGAGGCAAAAGGAAAATTTCATTTGAAATGCATATAATTTTCATCAAAGCCTTTCGATACTTGAGCTGCAATATCATTTTCGCTTACTTTTGCCGTTGATTGCCAACTAACCTAACGTAGCGCGGTAACGTAAAAAAGCTATTTTCTGACCTTTGCACCTACACAGTTCTTTATGTAAGCCAGTTTCTAACCCTCCTCCCCCGTAGATGGTCATTGGGGTCAAGCGGCATGTAAGCTAATTTCTGACCCTTGCCCTTATCTAAGTGGTCAAGCCGCATCGCCAGCGGCATGGAGTCTGGTCTCGTACATGTCCCTAAGCGTGGGCCTGGCAGGGCTAGATTTGACCTCCCCCATAGGACCTTGTCACGCCGCATGTAAGCTAGTATCTAACCCATCCCTTACCTAGGTGGTCAAGCCGCATCGCCAACGGCATGGAATCCCTCGTCTCTTCCATGTCGTCCCTCAGCGTGGGCCTGGCAGGGCTGGAGGCAGGCGAGCGCGCGGTGTGGGCCCCACCGGCAAGCCGCGCGCCGCCGCCGCCGCCCGACTTCAACCCGTGGACGGCGCGCCATCCGCTACAGGAGTTCATCGCGCACGCCAAGACCGACCAGTGAGTCTGCTTGGGTTTACTCGCGTGGGTAGGCGTGGCGACAACCGGTAGACGACTGACGCGCTACGTGTGCTCGTAATATACGTTAGTGTTGACGGCACCCAATCGTAACACACAGCGGCAGGCGCTGCTGTTGATTCGCAAACCCTGTTCAAATTGTCTATTTTCATCTAAAGCCTGGTCCGTGAGCACGTAGAATCCCGTCCAGTGACCCCAAGCTACCCATCCTTATCGCTCGCGCGTAATTGTATTGCTGTCGCGACTGTGCGACGCGCGCCCGCAGTGAGTGTGCGAGCGCGACAGCAACATAATTACGTGCGAGCGACAAGGATGGGCAGCTTGGGGTCATTGGACGGGATTCTACGTGCTCACGGACCAGGCTTTAGCCATCGAGCATTTTGTATTCTTAAAAGGCGACAGCCTTTGGATCAGCAGAAGCGCCGCTCCGAGAAATGCCCGTAGGTGCAGTCCACTCGCAGAATTCACTACATGTTAGTTAACACATTTTCATCTTAGTTGTTATAACTTATGTTCCTGCTTCGGAGCTTCTTTTACTTGTTTAGCATGTTGAGCAACATGTAGCGCGTCAATTTTCGCCCGGTGACAGCTTGTCAATGTATCATGTTATGTGACGTCATTGGAAATGAAAATCTTGGTGCGCGTGAATTGTTTTGTATCAATTGTTACAATTTATCTGTCTATCTAATTAATCTATAAGTTTCTATTATTATATTACTCAACTAAAAAACATGCGAACGCGCACATAGGTTTTTTTAGATTAGGTTTGCTACCAGAATGCTAGGGACCCTTGAAAGGTCAAATTTTAATAGACCTATACGTGTTTAGCTTTTAAGATAGACGACTCGTAATCACAAGCGTAATACCAACGATTAATGGTTTTTATTAAAGATTCTGACGTATTTAATTAATATCTTACGTTTGTTTGTACATAAATAGACCTTACATCATCGAGGTATCTTGCGCTCTGGTAGTAAACAATATTATACTCTATCGCTTCATAATTACCCACGCGACGTCTATGTCTTAACATTTTCTTTTAATTTTTGTTCGTTGATTAACTTATGCATGAATTAATTAAGAAAGCACATTTGTCTCGTTCGCACCGCACGCTCGGTGTTTGGTTTCGGTGGAGTGCGAGAGTGTTGCACTGTTTGCATTTTGTGTTAATTTTTAATACCTCTTCTAGCTAAAAATATCGAGTAAACAACACTTAAATTTAGCGCTATTAACTATTTCACTCATTATCAAATTGGTCAACAAACATCATTACCAAACATCTTATTTATTTCAGAGATAATCATGGTTTAGTATTTATTCAATACTAAGTACAAAATAGTGTTGAGACGATATTTTTAGCGCATGTGACGCATTTTTATTTACAAGAACATAACTGCTATTGCTTTTAATAGAGCTTAANAAACACATTTTCAGTTATTCTTCATAAGTGACACAAAGAGAATGACAATCGACAAAAGAAGGAACATTTGTTTTTTTTAAGCCATAGACAATACTTGTTACTATGTGTTCCAATATCTACAGTTGTCGTCAGGAAGTTGGTCGAACAAATTCAGCTTGCAAGATTCCACCCGAAGCTACCTACATATTACAATATGTTCAACGAGAACGGCTGAACCAACAAAAACATTAGAAAATTTACGAAAAAATAAAATAAAAAATATCCCGTACAAAATGTTCATGGATTGTGTTATTTTTATTAAAAATACCTTTACGCCTGAGTTAAATGACACCGACATCAAGGTTCATCAATTCAAGTATAAAATAATAGGCAGTAATGTCATGAAAAAAGAGCTTCTATTCTGTATCTACCTATGCCCGTGTAATTTTGATCGGTGTCAAATCGGAGTTTTCGTGCGGGGTGCGCGGGTGTTTCGCGCGGCGTGAAGGTCAAACGCCCAAGGTCATTGAGGACTCTAATCGCCTTAATCAGATAATATTCCGCGCTTGGAATAAAAATGCATTTTCCGTAATCTGGTTTCACTCATGTCATGAGTAATGTAACTTTAGGCAAATAACAAATCTTTGTCTACCAGTATACTCGTACAGAAATTGATACACTGTGTATGATATTGAATGAACATCTTTTCTGCTCAAAATCATTGCAATGTCATCATTGCACTGTTATTAATAAACACAAACTGAGTAGCAATTTCTTTACTGAATATCTACACAGCTTGTAACTTTTTACACTTATTTAACAAAGTTTTGTTTTGAAAACTGATATCAACTCATCAAATGTTAACACTCATCTTTAGAATCAATGAGCAATCTCTTGCACTCCTTGTAAGGCATAAGAGAGGTAAATTTTAATTTTAGACATTGTTTTAGTATAATCCTAAATGTATTTTAATTAAGAATCCAATTGAATGGCATAAATATTTATGTATTAAATTCGAAGCTTTTTTAAGACAATATCGGTATATTTAAGCATGTTATACGTTATGAATTAAGGGCAACTAGGCGGGGCCGCAGGCCGCGCTAGGGTATTGCACAACTGGCAATCTGCATTTTTTGATGATTTTTCAACGAAATAATAATATTCATGATGTTGTAGTTTACTATTTCTGTGTACTAATAAGTCTTATTATAAAATCAGGTTTTAAGTAAATCAATTTGGATCTGTTTTCTCAGCAATGATTAACACAGCATTATGAAATTATCTATCTATCTACAATAATAACAAAATCTAGACATTTTGTAACGAGACAATATGAATTTATCTCTCGGTGTTTTATGAGATTTTTAAATAATATTGCATGCCAGTCGTATTAGTTAATAAATTTAAGTATAATGGTTTATGTGTGGCGTTTTATTTGATGTGCTTGCATCGTGCTGTTCCGAGCTGCTTACTAACACATTTTGTTTGCGCTAATCGCGTTTGTTCTGTTTTCTTAGGCGACATAATTATACATCACAAACACATGCACCTTTCATTACACAATTGCATACATTTGCAGTCTTTTAAGTAGGTCATTTTTCAGAGATGAAGGTGTTACACAACTGTAGTAGGTAGGTACACGAGGTAAAGAATAGTCGGTATATTTAAATTATTTACTGAAAACCACTTCATGATGGTATCTGCATGCATATGAACTACCTAACCGTGACGACTTTGAATCGCTTCAAAAGACCAAAGACCTTATAATTGTCTAGTGCCGTCATTGTATCACTCAGGCAATTTAGTTATGCTTTTCGATAGACATTTCCGCGCGGCATAAGCTTGTCGTCGTGTAGGCCGATGTTTTCCTCCAATGCCACACGGCGCAGCGTGAAAACGTCTTTCAAACAAAACTGTGCGCCCGCGCCGCGCGGCCGCCTCGCTCGCTGACACGACCCACCGAACTATGGAAGTGACAAGGGACTGGTAGCTGTTTGTAAACAATCCGCGGTGAAGCAGTGGTAACAGTGTGTAATCGTGCGCATCTTATCGCCGCTATGGCGGTCTGCGACAAGTGGGTCGCGCTCAAGATAGTCGAGTTTGTGAGTAATGTTTCTTTTATGTAGTTTTTGAAAAGTTTGCATGTGAGTAGTTAGTTTTATGTGAAAATTGTTAGCAACAGTAATTTTTACAGTTGAAGATAGTAGATACTGTAACAAACTAGTACTGCCTTCATCCTGATAGATGATAGCAGTGAGTTCCTTTAGATGAGTCGGTAAATGTAGAGTAGGTATGAGTTTTGTTTACCAGTATTGTATTACAATGCAATTCATCAGTTTCGACCAAATATCTAATTAACTTATGGTACCTAGCCATGGTGTCCATACACACTGCAATTTGTGCCTTACATACACATTAACTACATAATGGGGTAATTTGTTAAATATCTATCAATGGCAATTACCATTATCAATGAGGAATGTCGTCGGAACAGATTGCTAATGGGTTGAACACCTAAGTGCCTATTGTAATGTCTTTGCTCTACAGCGCGACATCATTATTGTATATAAATACCTTGGAAACATGTACCTAGCTTAGTTTGCATCTTTCAGCAGAGATACAAGAGGATTGCTTATCGTCATCCCACCTGATAAGGGAGAATTTTCCTTTAACGCTGCGTCCTTGCAGTCGTCGAAATCGAAAGTTCTTGTTGTTGCCAGAGATGGACTTCAGATAATTTTCCAGTTTTCATTGGGGCAAATTTTTGCTCCCTGTCAGTCCTAATCTATCATAAATTGTATGTAAAAATGTCTTTGCCATTATAGTACCCTCTTCGCATCATGCAAATTCGCAAGCTTATGCATTTTCCTGTGTTACTACTATCATAACTTGTTTGTCAAGACGATAAAAATATCAAACGCTCATGTTTGCACTTTGCTATCCAAGGCGATGCAGTTTAAAGCTTAAAGTTGTATAACTTTTATTTATTGCCGTATTATCTTAACCTATTGCGATGCTAGCTGTTCGGTATCGGTGTTGCGACAGTGGGGACTCTGATGTAACCACACGTGGCCTGCTAAATGTTCGTAGGTAGGTACTACGGTTTTGAAAGTGCGTATTGACTCCAAACCAACAGATGCCCGGGCCTTACCCAGTTAGAGCCTTCGGCTGATTGAATATATAGCTTGTTATCAAAACAATTGTTGCGAAATAACTCTATTATAACGCGTACTTAGCTTGTACTGTATGTCGATGGGCTTAGATTTATTTCATACTTAACTAATTTTATATTGAACTTTGAAGGTTGCTGTGCAATTTCTATACAGCATAATACAGCTGGTATTATGTTAAAGTTTGTGAATGAATAGCCAATGCGCATCTTGCTTTGAATAACTAGTACTACCTAGTTGACCATATTCATGAGCTGAAATTCTGAAACCACATCAGTAATTAGGTCACACACTATGTCTAGTAGTTATTATGTAGTAGGTACAGTATGTAGTTACGTTGCACCGGATAAAATATTTAACATTTAAAAGGTATTCGTCAGCCTAGTTAGACGCGACTAGTTAACAGGTGTAATTTTAAACTAGTATCCTTGAGTTTAAACCTTTTAAGTGTGTACAAATAGATAAAATGAT